GTTAAATTCAGGGAGAATTCAAGAAAAAGTTTTACCAGGCCAAATTGTCTTATTTTCACAAGGCTAAACGTTGCTCCAAATTGATATTATAACATTAAATAGCTCGTAACGACAGGTCAAATGAAAAACGATTTAAAAAAATTAAAACGTTACGCCATAGATTATATGAAAACTACCAAACTGCCAATCGAAAAAAAAAAACTTTCTAAGATTTGGTTTTAGTAGCAATTTATTTCCATGATACTGTTTATTATCCTAAAAGAAATATTAGTTGGTATATTATGTAACACAAGCTATGAATGTATTAAAAATAAAAATTGTTGATAATTAAGGTTTGTGTTTGTAACAAATTGTTTTTTGTTTCCAAAATATTTCCAATTTCTACCAACGCTAATATTTTTTATTGTGTCAAAAATTAATAAAACTCTTAGCTGAGTTATCTATGATGAGTTTATTGGGTAGTTAGTACCAAAAAATTAAAAAATTGACCCGGAGTAAGATGACCCCCAGTAAGATGAAGTTAGTTGAATGTATTTCGCCTTTGAATGAGATCTTCACCCCCTGCTATATTCTTTGAATTTCCGAATTCGAGAATATATTGCAGTAGAACAAGAACAATATGCATAATTTACTTAAAATTGTGTTTATTTTGTTTTATACACATACACATTAATTATGAAATTAATGAAAATTTAATACTTATTTATTAGTTTTATGAAATCATCCCACGGACATAAACCATTTTTATCGATTGCGCAATCTTTGATTCCCAATGTAACTCGTAATGGCGGGTTTTGAATGTTAATTTTAACGCCATCTCTTAATTGATTCCATGACAGATAAACGTATTCTACTTTCAAATAATAATCTCCGGCCGCGTCTTTCCATTTTTGAAATATAATCTTCCCGCCTACCGGGTACGGCTCGTACTGCTCCTTTAGCACAAACGAATTGAAATCTAAAGCGTCGGTTATTAAGTTCAAATTAGTATCGTGGCCCACGAGCAAAGCAAATTTAATATTTTCATTCGTGAATATAGACCTCATATATCTAATCGTAGGTCGAGCGGTGTCCTTGACAGCTGAGGGAATATTAAACCGTATTTGTTGATCCATAGCCGTTATTTTCGTTAGAAGTTTCCATTGCTCGGGACTAGTGATTTCTCCCCACGCAACTTCTTCCAACGGACGTCCTTCGTAGTAACTCATTATAAAATTATCAAGTACTTCATTTCCTATCGTCAAAGGTCCGTTCAACTCCAATTCCTCGCCAGCGCGATAAATTACAATATTCTTGTCGTGGACCAAATCGCAGAATCCTTCAGTTTTGCATATTTTAGAGGTTTTTATGTCGATAATCTTGTCTAATTCTTCGTAGGCATCTGTTAGATTATATTTGGCGAGCATTTCCTCGATTTCTTCGAGTACTTTTCTTTTATAGGAGTCGGTGGAGTTACGAATAGCATAATTAAAGGTGACGTCATATTTTTCAAAATCCTTTTCATACTTCACGTTTATATTACAGTCAGGGAATGCGGCATCGACAAACGCCTTCGCAGTAGCTATGGTTCGTCTCTTATTATTCGCATAAATCAAAACGGTTTCTTTGTCGGGGCACGTTCCGGGTAAGAGTTGATTCTCTGTCATCCATCTCGTTAGATATTCGCTCATATAGCCTTCCAGTAAGGCCCCTTTTTCCGTCAGCAGGGCCGGCTCTTGGAACCATTTCGGAAATATTTTGTTCGTGTATTCCTCTATGTCTTTTGTTATTGGAGCCCTTAGGTTGTGACGACTAAAAATTAAGACTTGCTCGAGGCGCAGACAGCCAACGCCGGATAATAATAAAAAATAAAAAGTTACTGTGATCATTTGGTTCACAGTGCGGCGCGTTGAATTAAAAAAAAACTTATGTCTATGCTTTGACATTTGCCAAACGTGTCAACGGAGCCACGTTACAATCACAACTGGATTGATTATTTTTACATTTGTGGAGATAATATTCGTCTCATCAAAATCAGTACGAATTAGTTTCGTATTTGTTATGAGGGTCGCGTAATGAAATCACAACAATGTTTTTTTAACATTTTTTTGTTCAGGTTTTTTTGCTTATTACAATTATATAAAATTTCGAACAATAATAAGTCCTTTATATTATTCCTACTACACTACTAATTACATTACATCTGTTGGACAGTTAAATTTGAGGGGGCTGGGTTCTGTAGGTGAGGGGTTATTTAAAAACAATTATATTGCAAACACTTTGTACATTTGTACCATTACAATATTTTATTTTATAAAACCCTAAGGAGTTGCTGTCTGTGTCTAGATGAGAAGTCATTGTCATCACTCAAGACAATTATCTGTTTTAAACATTTAAATAAGCATTCCAATATTTGAAATCTGTTACTTCACATGTGACAAGTATTGCCTGCCACTACTGTCATATTCAAACTCCAATAAAATCGACACTGATTTAACTTTACATAATCAAATCATTCGATCTCACAGGCATAAGAATGGAGATATATTTTTCATTTATCATTCATACGAAACATAAACATGTCAGCTTTCCTACAACAAAAATTCCTATTACAAAAATAGCAGACAACTTGAATTGAATTTAATAAATTTGTTTCATAATGATAATAGTTCTTGCCTATAGTTCATGGTGACGGGTCACAACCTTGTACGAAAACATTACATCTGTAATCACAACAAAAACAACAACTTTGCTTCGTCGTAAATTTAATGAATTTTGTATTTGAAAATAGCATTATAGTTAATATTGGGGCGTGAATCGAAACACAGCAGAACGTGTATTCAAGGCTTTAGTAGACATTAGGTTTAATAACATATAATAAAAAAAACAGATTTCTACAAATACTGGGTGTCAGGAGACCGCGTTCAAAGACGAAGATAGACGATAGTACTAATGACACCTTTGATTCTGGGACGGAAAAAAATCGACCCTGATTTTTGAAAAAATATATTTTAAAACTTTTTATTAGCATTATTTACGCTCCATCTATACTGAATATATAAATCTGCAGTGGTTTTACGGATATTTTTTTTATTGCCCTTGTAGGCAGACGAGCACACGGCCCACCTGATGGTGAGTGGTTACCGTCGCCCATGGACTTCAGCAATGCTAGGGGCAGAGCCAAGCCGCTGTCTACATTCCGTTATAACTACTGAACCATGCATCCGATTGACTTGAAACTTGGTGTCCATGTAGAATATACATGTACTTAATGGATAGGCTAATATTTATATGAGAGTTGGACTCCCTAATAATAATGATAATAAGTAATAATGTTAATTTTATAATTATTATTATAGCCGGACTTGAAGTCGTCGTGGCCTAAAGGATAAGACGTCTGGTGCATTCGTATCGAGCGATGCACCGGTGTTCGAATCCCGCAGGCGGATACCAATTTTTCTAATGAAATACGTACTTAACAAATGTTCACTATTGACTTCCACGGTGAAGGAATAACATCGTGCAATAAAAATCAAAACCGCAAAATTATAATTTGCGTAATTACTGGTGGTAGGACCTCTTGTGAGTCCGCACGGGTAGGTACCACCGCCCCGCCTATTTCTGCCGTGAAGCAGTAATGCGTTTCGGTTTGAAGGATGGGGCAGCCGTTGTGACTATACTGAGACCTTAGAACTATATCTCAAGGTGTGTGGCGCATTTACGTTGTAGATGTCTATGGGCTCCAGTAACCACTTAACACCAGGTGGGCTGTGAGCTCGTCCACACATCTAAGCAATAAAAAAATAAATAAAAAAGTGAAGGAGAATTCAAGAAACAGTTTTTCACTGCCAAATTGTCTTTTATTTTCTTTCACAAGGCTAAACGTTGCTCCAAATTGACATTATAACTGTTCGAAACATAGCAACCCTATTTTCCTCACCGCGGCGGAAGCGGGGGAGATGCGTGGAGTGACAAAATAAAACGACGTGCATCGACGAAAAAGCGCAATCATTGTCGGTCCCGTAAAACTGTATTAAATTTGATCCGATTAATAAACCAGCTTTAAATACAGTCCACTTTTATTCGTATAAGCCTTGCACCCAACATCTCATCGCAACGGCGCCAACAATAACATAACATAGCTCTTAATCCCAGGTCAAATCAAAAACAATATAAAAAATTAAAACGTTACGCCATTTTGAAAACTACAAAGCTACTAATCGAAAAAAAATATTTCTAAAATTTGGTTTTAGTAGCAATTTACTTCCATGATACTGTTTAATTTCCTAAAAGAAAGTCATTTGGTATAACACAAAACACCTATGAAATTATGAAAAATAAAAATTGTTGATAATTAAGGTTTGTGCTTGTAACAAATTATTTTTTGTTTCCAAAATAGTTCCAACTTCTACCAATGCTAATATTTTTTATTAAGTCAAAACTTGATTAAACTCATATCTGAGTTATCTATGATGAGTTTATTAGGTAACTAGCTGACCCGGCAGACTTCGTCGTGCCTTAATCGATAAATAAAAGACCTAAACTTTTGTATAAAATAAAATTAAAACAAACAAAAGAAATTCATCCGACGGGGGATACATCAAAGGAAAAACAAAATTGTAATTTTTATTTAATTCCTAGCATTTTCATATTTATTTAACTTTTAAACCTTCTCTGGACTTCGACAAATAATTCAAGACCAAAATTAGCAAAATCGGTCCAGCCGTTCTCGAGTTTTAGCGAGACTAACGAACAGCAATTAATTTTTATTTATATAGATGAGTGCCAAAAAGTTTAAAAATTGACCCGGAGTAAGATGACCCGTCCCGCAAGAGTAAGATGACGCTATATAGTTGAATGTATTTCGCCTTTGAATGAGATCTTCACCCCCTGCTATATTCTTTGAATTTCCGAATTCGAAAATATATTGCAGTAGAACGAGAACAATATGCATAATTTACTTAAAATTGTGTTTATTTTGTTTTATACACATACACATTAATTATGAAATTAATGAAAATTTAATACTTATTTATTAATTTTATGAAATCATCCCACGGACATAAACCATTTTTATCGATCGCGCAATCTTTGATTCCCAATGTAACTCGTAATGGCGGGTTTTGAATGTTAATTTTAACGCCATCTCTTAATTGATTCCATGACAGATAAACGTATTCTACTTTCAAATAATAATCACCGGCCGCGTCCTTCCATTTTTGAAATATAATCTTCCCGCCTACCGGGTACGGCTCGTACTGCTCCATTAGTACAAACGAATTGAAGCCTAAAGCGTTGGTTATTAAGTTCAAATTCGCATCGTGGCCCACGAGCAAAGCAAATTTAATATTTTCGTTCGAGAATATAGACCTCATATATCTAATCGTAGGTCGGGCGATGTCTTTGACAGCTGAGGGAATATTAAACCGTATTTGTTGATCCATAGCCGTTATTTTCGTTAGAACTTTCCATTGCGCGGGACTAGTGATTTCTCCCCAAGCAACTTCTTCCAGGGGACGTCCTTCGTAGTAACTCATTATAAAATTATCAACTACTTCATTTCCTATTGTCAGAGGTCCGTTCAACTCCAGTTTCTCGCCAGCGTGATAAATTACAATATTCTTATCGTGGCCCAAATCGCAGAATCCTTCTCTTTCGCATTTTTTAGAGTGTTTGATGTCGATAATCTTGTCTAATTCTTCGTAGGCATCTGTTAGATTATATTTGGCGAGCATTTCCTCGATTTCTTCGAGAACTTTTCTTTTGTAGCAGTCGGTGGTGTTACGAATAGCATAATTAAAGGTGACGTCATATTTTTCTAAATCCTTTTCATACTTCACGTTTACATTACAGTCAGGGAATGCGGCATCGACAAACGCCTTCGCAGTAGCTATGGTTCGTCTCTTATTATTCGCATAAATCAAAACAGTTTCTTTGTCGGGACACGTTCCGGGTAAAAGTTGATTCTCTGTCATCCATTTCGTTAGATATTCGCTCATATGGCCTTCCAATAAGGCTCCTTTTTCCGTCAGCATGCCCGGCTCTTTGGACCATTTCGGAAATATTTTGTTCGTGTATTCATCTATATGTTTTGATAATGGAACTCTTATGTTGTGACGACTAAAAATTAAGACTTGCTCGAGGCGTAGACAGCCAACGCCGGATAATAATAAAAAATAAAAAATTACTTCGTTCATTTTGTTCACAGTGCGCGTTGAATTAAAAAAAACTTATGTCTGTGCTTTGACCTCAAATATATTATGTGTATAATCTATGGCTTTGACAATTGCCAAACGTGTCAACGGAGCCACGTTACAAACACAACTGGATTGAATATTTTTACATTTATGGAGATAATACATGTCTCATCAAAATCAGTACGAATTAGTTTCGTATTTGTTCGGAGGGTCGCGTGATGAAATCACAACAATGTTTTTTTAACATTTTTTTGTTCAGGTTTTTTTGCTTATTACAATTATGTATATAAAATTTCGAACGATAATAAGTCCTTTAAATTATTCCTACTACACTACTAATTAACATTAAATCGACACTGATTTAACTCTACATAATCAAATCATTTAATCTCACAGGCATAAGAATGGAGTTTTTTTTTTTTTTAAGTCATTCATACGAAAGACAAACTTGTCAGCTTTCCTACAACAAAAATTCCTATTACAAAAATAGCAGACGACTTGAATTGAATTTAATTAATTTCATTCATTAACCATAATAATATTAAGCTGTAGTTTGTCTGTCTGTTATCGAACTAACCCCTGTATATATATGTTGTATGTATATTGTTTTAGGTAAATCAACAGAGATCCTGTCATCAAACATTCTTAGCTACTCACTTAATTCTTAGTGAATATCTGTGACCTTGCTCGTTCACGAAGCCCGCTATAGAAAGCAGAGTATTAAATACACTTGACATTGGCGAAATCTAAAAGAAAACGCCATAAACCTAAGAGATAGATAGATAATTAATTTGTTTCATAATGATACCTATTATTTCTTGCCTGTAGTTCATGGTGACGGGTCACAACCTTGTACGAAAACATTACATTATCTGTAATCACTAACTTTGCTTCGTCGTACATTATTAGTCGTATTATAGATACCTAATATTGGGGCTTGAATCGAAACACAGCAGAACGTGTATTCAAGACTTTTATTAGGTTTAATAACATATAATTAAAAAAAACAGGTTTCTACATAATATAGGTACTGGGTGTCAGGAGACCACTTCCGAAAACGAAGCCAAACGATAGTACCAATGACACCTTTGCTGATGAAACGGAAAAAAATCGACACTGATTTAAAAAAATATATATTTTAAAGCATTTTATTAGCATTATTTACACTTCATCGTGTTATACATTCATTCGTAGTTTATTTTTTGGCATACCTGAATAATTTTGTGTTCAGTATCAGTCATTTGTTACAAAATATAGTTCTGGTACCTATCTTTGTTTGATACCCTTTAAATTTTTTCCATATTATTCATACTTGAAGGCGGCACAGTTTCACTCAATAACTGCAACCTATCAATTTCTACGGGAGCTGTATGATTTTAACCTGAAATATTTACAAACAAAAAAAATAATTTTGTTATAATAATTTCAATCTATAATTATGTACATTTACACTAATCTATTTACTTACACTGTATAAACTTATAACAAGCTTCAACTTAAATCCTCATGTACTAAAATAATGTTACACCGGTGAGAGTAACGCCATCTATCGCCGAATAGCCGAACGAATATAGAAGGCTCTAGAGCGCTCGAGAAGTACAACGCCATCTATTGTCAGATAGCGGAAACACACAATACTTGACTTTTGTGGAATATTCTCGATAATTCTAGGGATGTGGTATTGGCTATAAAAGCGTTGCAGAGATGGCACGCAGTCAGTTTGTAATCGGAACTACTCGAAGCGAAACAGCGAACGGATCACCTGAAGCGAAGCGGAAGAAGCGAATTGAGAATTTTAAAGTGTTTGTGAAGTGTTCTAAGTGATAAATACAGTGTCAACTTGTAATTCAGTAGAATTTTATTAATCCCGAACCCTAGCGCGTAGCAATAATAACAATTATTAAATGAAAACTAAAAAGTAATTAAATGAAAAGCTATACGATATTAATCCCAAACCCTTTATTTATTTTTTTAATTTAATTAACAATACTACTATACAACAATATACTATATTTAATTAACTTATTTAACAGAAAATAATTACAAATAGACTGTTTTACTACATAAATATAAGAAAATAAAAATTGTTGATAATACCGGTTCGTGTTTGTAACAAATTGTTTTTTGTTTCCAAAATAGTTCCAACTTCTACCCAATACTAATATTTTTTATTGAGTCACAACTCATGTCTGAGTAATCTATGATGAGTTTAATAGATTAATAGTGCCAAAAAGTCTCAAAATTGACGGGCCCGCAGGAGAGGTGAATGAAGTTAGCCCCTCTAAAAAATTTTTTTTTCCTATTTTATACTTATTTTCTATTAATTCGTTTGTTCATCATTTGTTCATGATTGTTCACTGTTAATAATTGTTTGTTCTGCATTTATTTATTTAAAAAAAAAATTTAAAAATATACCTACAAGTTAGCCCCTCTAATGCAATTTTTAATATTTTTTCATCCTTAATGACTCGTAAATATTCATTTTCGATTGTTCTTATATAAAACACGTTTGTTCTCTTTCGAAATTACTCGTTTTTTGTTTAATTTACTATTTTTATTAGTTGAATAAATGTATGCAAAATATGTGTACTGCGCATGCGTCAACTATAATGCCTAAACTTTCTACGCGGTTTTAATCGTGAAAAAAAAAACAAATATAAATCCTGAAGGAGCAATTAATTGGTATACAGTTTAATTAAAAAAATTAAAAAATAAATAAATGAAATAATGTGCATTGGCGTTAAGTTAGACCAAATACATTTTTTCCATCCTCCTACTTATCGTTATGAAGGTATAAAAAAGATAGGGAGTTCACATAGGTAATATAAACAAATAAGTAAATATGTTCATTATTTATCTTTCAAGAGATAATATAGGTATACATTATAATAACTTTTTTACACAGTCGAAATTATATTCCTAACATTAGTAAAATAACATTTTAATACGATAGGTAAGAGGATGGAAAAAATGTATTTGGTCTAACTTAACGCCAATGCACATTATTTCATTTATTTATTTTTTAATTTTTTTAATTAAACTGTATACCAATTAATTGCTCCTTCAGGATTTATATTTGTTTTTTTTTTCACGATTAAAACCGCGTAGAAAGTTTAGGCATTATAGTTGACGCATGCGCAGTACACATATTTTGCATACATTTATTCAACTAATAAAAATTGTAAATTAAACAAAAAACGAGTAATTTCGAAAGAGAACAAACGTGTTTTATATAAGAACAATCGAAAATGAATATTTACGAGTCATTAAGGATGAAAAAATATTAAAAATTGCATTAGAGGGGCTAACTTGTAGGTATATTTTTAAATATTTTTTTAAAATAAATAAATGCCGGACAAACAATTATTAACAGTGAACAATCATGAACAAATGATGAACAAACGAATTAATAGAAAATAAGTATAAAATAGGAAAAAAAAATTTTTTTGAGTGGCTAACTTCATTCACCTCCGCAGGAGTAAGATGACGCTAGTTGAATGTATTTCGCCTTTGAATGAGAACTTCACCCCTGCTATATTCTTTCAATATCCGAAGCGAAGGTATCGAATAGGTACTGCAGTGTAGAAATAATATGCATAATTCACACAAAACAGTGTTTATTTCGTTTTGTACACATACACATTATGAAATTAATGAAATTTTAATACTTATTCAAAAATTTTAAGAAATCATCCCACGGACAGAGATCATTTTTATCGATCGCACATTCTTTGAGCTCCAGTGTTTCTCGTAATGGCGGGTTTTTAAAGTTGATTTTAACGCCATCTCTTATTTGATTCCAAGACTGATAAACGTATTCTACTTTCAAATAATAATCACCGGCCACGTCCTTCCATTTTTGAAATATAATCTTCCCGCCTACCGGGAACGGCTCGTATTGCTCCATTAGCACAAACGGATTGAAGCCTAAAGCGTTGGTTAATATGTTGAAATTCGTGTCGTGGCCCACGAGCAGAGCAAATTTAAAATTTTCGTTCGTGAATATAGACCTCATATATCTGATCGTAGGTCGGGCGGTATCCTTGACGGCTGAAGGAATATTAAATCGCATTTGTTGATCCTTAACCGCTATTTTAGTTAGGACTTCCCATTGCTCGGGACTAGTCACTTCTCCCCACGCAACTTCTTTCAACGGACGTCCTTCGTAGTAACTCATTATGAAATTATCAACTATGGAATTCCCTATTCTCAGAGGACCGTTCAGCTCTAGTTCTTCGCCAACGTGATAAATTACAATATTCTTGTCGTGGACCAAATCGCAGAATCTTTGAGTTTCGCATATTTTAGAGGTTTTTATGTCGATAATCTTGTCTAATTCTTCGTAGGCATCTGTTAGTTTACAATTGGCGAGCATTTCCTCGATTTCTTCGAGTACTTTTTGTTTGTAGGCTTCGGTGGTGTTATGAATAGCAGAATTGAAGATGATGTCATGTATATCAAAATCCTTTTTATGCTTCACGTTTATATTACAGTCAGGGAATGCGGCATCGACAAACGCCTTTGCAGTAGCTATGGTTCGTCTCTTATTATTCGCATAAATCAAAACGGTTTCTTTGTCGGGACACGTTCCGGGTAAAAGTTGATTCTCTCTCATCCATTTCGTTAGATATTCGCTCATATGACCTTCCAATAAGGCTCCTTTTTCCGTCAGCATGCCCGGCTCTTGGGACCATTTCGGAAATATTTTGTTCGTGTATTCATCTATATGTTTTGATAGTGGAACTCTTAAGTTGTGACGACTAAAAATTAATACTTGCTCAAGGCGTAGACAGCCAACGCCGGATAATAATAAAAAATTAAAAGTTACCGCCAACATTTCGTTCACTGTGTGCGATAAATTAAAAAAAAAACTTATGCCTATGCTTTGAAATTTACCAAACGTGTCAACGGAGCCACGTTACAAACACAACTGGTTTGTGTGTTTTTGCATTGATTGCGATAAGACTCGTTGCATCAAAACTCAGTACGAATTAGTTTCGTATTTGTTCTGGGCGTCGCGTCATGAAATCACAAGATGTTTTTTTAAGGAATTTTATGTTCAAGTTTTATTGATAATTTAAAGTGTTGTTACTGTAGTTTGCGTGAAGGTTATATTTATTATTTTAATAAGTACAGAGTTCTTATGAAACGTGAATATTTTTCAATGTTTTAGAAATGAAAAACTCAACTGAATGTCAGCGGACACAATCNATTTGTTCTGGGCGTCGCGTCATGAAATCACAAGATGTTTTTTTAAGGAATTTTATGTTCAAGTTTTATTGATAATTTAAAGTGTTGTTACTGTAGTTTGCGTGAAGGTTATATTTATTATTTTAATAAGTACAGAGTTCTTATGAAACGTGAATATTTTTCAATGTTTTAGAAATGAAAAACTCAACTGAATGTCAGCGGACACAATCTCAAATCATTTATTCGAATAGTGTAAGCGCAGGTAAGCGGCTGTACCAATCACAGTTTACAATGTACGAAGTGGTTTTTGGGTAAAGTAATTAAAAAAATATTTCCTCCTTTATGTAACTATTATGTATTTTTATTATTAAAGGCTTCGATCAGCAATAGTAACTGCTGATCGAAGATTAAAAGTGAATAGGAACATTAACATTTTAATTTGAACTAGAAGTCCCGCAGTAGTCGAAATTCGACTATAATTAATTGGAATTATTATTGTAAGTTTGTACACTATTTTGATTGTATTTTATACTTCTATATTCACAAATTTCGCCAAGACTACACTATGAGAAATATTAACAAAGACAAACCTATGGACAAACCATATTCTATTCTCAATTTGACAACAGACGTCAAGAACAAAAGTTTGACAATAAATAGTATGCAGGCGTGTGTGCGTCAAATACACGGTATGTAGTGTGTGTAATGTTTTCTTTATTGATTTAATGTATCTTTTATGCATTATTTTAACAAAATATTATTAGCATTGTGCACTTCTTCTCTATTTTCTCTATAAGTGTGGAAAATTTCATACTCCTCCGTTAAAAAGGGATACAAAGTTTTTGCTTCACGTATTAATATATTTGAATTATGTACCTGCCTACGCACGGAACAAACGAAGCGTGTTTTAAAGACCTTAATATTTTCAATTCCAGGTCCTTTGTTGTAAGATGTGCGTAAATACTACCTATTTAATTATATTAACCAGAAGGATAGGTAAGCTACGTTAGTAATTACATATTTCACATTTTTAACATTAATAACATATTTTGTTTACTTTAATTTTGATTTAAATGTGTGTGCGAATTGTTGGATTATTGTTATCTGATAATAAATGAATTGAACGGAATTGAATTATAGTTTATACTGAATATTTTAATATCAAGAGTGAAAGTGGTACAATGCTATTTTGTTACGTAACTTTTTATGTGTGTTAGCACATTTCATGGCTCGAGCTTAAACCGCTTAGACTCCTTCTGATGTAACACTGGGCAAAATTGATATAAGACATGAATATACCGAGAATTTTTTAGATTAGGTTTTATAATAATATATTTCTCCATCTTTCTCCGCGTCATTGTTTTTTTTTACCTTCCTTTTCCTGTCGAACGAAATCTCCGAATTTATTAATCGCTATGGGAAATAAGTCACGTCATAAAACTTGGAATGTCGTTATAAAAACGCAAATATTCCTTCGTAATCCTTGTAAAATTTATTCGGACGGAATTTTGCTGTGGTTAAAACATTGACGATTGATAATCTCGTCTACAAATAAATCTAATTTAGTTATTGAATGTTAGAAGAAGATGAGAAGATGACTATTTTGACCTTGGGCTCTAAAAAACCAATCCAAGTTTGGCTATGGATTTTTAGAGTTTAATTATTCACTTGTGTGTACGTACCTAATAAATAAAAAAAAAAAGATATTTCTTGCATCACTTTTTCTATTCATTATGTTGCAAGCCAGATTTTGTTTCTTTTTACTTGTATTTTTTATGTATATTTTTAGCTTGTGATGTGTATTGTGTGCTTGATAAATAAAATATATAAATAATATCTCATTACGCATTAAACAAATGTGATGATTTAATTAAGAAACGACGCGGTTGCGTAACTAACGGTTTTATAATGAAACAATCAATTTTAAATGTTTTTGAACGATCACCGCCAAATTGGTGGTACCAACAAGTGATTTGTGGTGACTTTTTAGTTTTTACCGTAACCGGTCCTCTGTGAGCATAATCAATAATCAAGTGTGAAAAAACACACAGATTTGTTTTGTTATCGGAGCCTAATCGCGAATCCACGTTGATAGACAAGGTCAAAGTTATTATCCATGTTGGAGACGGTCATTAGTTTGGTGGCAAAACGAAGCGCAGCACGATTCCCGGGAGGTGACAGCACGACCGTAATGTCGTCGGAGCTCGGCTAACTTCGTGCTACGGCAGAGTATAGCCGATGGAGGCGCGCATAGACGATAATTCACTTACCAACCAGCCTTCTTGAAGAGCGGTGCCTCAGTCTTAAGAACTGTCATTCGTTTTCGTTTGCTAACGTCAAGAGGAGATTTCTAAATTGTTCTAAGACAACAAACGTGTTTNGAGGTGACATCACGACCGTAATGTCGTCGGAGCTCGGCTAACTTCGTGCTACGGCAGAGTATAGCCGATGGAGGCGCGCATAGACGATAATTCACTTACCAACCAGCCTTCTTGAAGAGCGGTGCCTCAGTCTTAAGAACTGTCATTCGTTTTCGTTTGCTAACGTCAAGAGGAGATTTCTAAATTGTTCTAAGACAACAAACGTGTTTTGTGTACTCAATATTTCTCTCAACTCCATCACCCTATTCGCCCGTGTGATGTCTGACGATGGTCTTTATAATGCGGTCTCTCCGACCTACATATTTTACAACCGGAAATCAGAAATGGGCGGTATTTTCGTACTTACTAGTGCTGGCTAGTAAAGGGCTACCAGTAGATCACGATTCTTAGTACCCTGGAATAAGACTATTTTTCCTTACGAAATCACAGGTAGCGAGGGCATATTCCAGCTTCACTTCAGGTTTGATAGGAAATTTCATGAGGCTGAACCTGTGGGTAGTTGTTAATGCTGGCCCTAGCAAGAGCAGTGCTTCGCTAAATCTACCCGAATAAAGACGTTATACGATAAAATCGCGTTCATACTCGTACGCCTATATCCGATGATCTGCATGTGAAGTGTGGTTTGCTATTTACTTTTCGCCCTTCATAAATAATATTTTGGCGTACAATATTATAATATTAACAAAATAGAAGAAAACGACGCTAGGCACTAGAGTTCACTAGACGATACTAGTTATATTAATATTTACGATTTATATTATACATAAATCGGCGTGCGAATCTTGTTAAACGACGTCAGATGACGGGAATTCCGATCGCGCCCGGTGACACCCGAATGCGACTTTATATGCCGATATTGTAAGCTACGGAAGTAAATTTTCGCTTCGAAATAAAATGAGTGACAACATATCTTCGCTGAGACTTTTCAGTGGACTTTTTGAAATAGTCCAAGACACGTTCAGAGGTTTCGTTTAATTTTCGACATTTTAGCACTGATGATAAACAGTTATTAAGACACCGTTATTACACGTTTAAGCCTGAAGAAACACTAAACGAACTTCTAATCTCGCGTTACCGCCAAATAGTCGCTCGGTACGCAAATAGTTTGAAACAGAATATAAACATTTCGAGGACTGAAAGGCTATTTGGTATAAGCGACATTTATCTTTGTAATCAAAGGTCCGTTTTATTTGGTATTAGCATCAATAATTCGATATTTTTAATTGAACTTCAATAAAGTTTACCACATTCAAATATCTGAAGAAGTCTTTTTGTCATTATGTATTTTGCAAATTTTAAACTTTAAATGGCTCTTCTGTAATTATGCAGAAATCTCGCGTAAACCTTTCACCTCTCGATTTAATCTACCTAAAGTGAAAAATCTGCGAAGTNCGTTTTATTTGGTATTAGCATCAATAATTCGATATTTTTAATTGAACTTCAATAAAGTTTACCACATTCAAATATCTGAAGAAGTCTTTTTGTCATTATGTATTTTGCAAATTTTAAACTTTAAATGGCTCTTCTGTAATTATGCAGAAATCTCGCGTAAACCTTTCACCTCTCGATTTAATCTACCTAAAGTGAAAAATCTGCGAAGTTGCGGCCGGAAATTTACTAAATAGTTCAACAATTCACCAAACTCATCGCGTGTTAGGTCTATGCGCGTTGAAGGGCGGAAGTCCGGCGATTTAAAAAATGCGCGTACCCGCCAAAAAATCTGTCATTTTCATTTGACATTAAAGAAAACCAGAAATAAAACTACTTGATTTTTTTCTTTTTCAATAATTTATTTAATCTATGGCGAACATTCAACTAAGAACACTTTAGTCTCTCGGCTTCAGTTATACATTTAAATTAAACAGAATTGAATGTGATTTGAATAATTCATAATAAATAAACAATTATTTTTTTGTCTCCCTTATTTACTATAGAAGCGAGTGAGAAGGCAAATATTCTTGTGCAATGTATTTTTTTTTAGATTAACTTTAGGGAAGATTTCATTAGAAATTTCTGCGTTGAGACATGAGGTCGTCTCAATAGTATATCGACATAAGGCTGTCCCTTGTAAGGGGTAGCATGTGTGACGGCATGCCCTCAAAATAAATGTTTTTCTACAATAATAATTACTTTAAACACATTTAAAACGATAATTCTTGAAGTCATATACATATAAAGTCGATTTATGACTGAACCTTTCATACAGATGAGAAAGAGAACACTCAAATTGTATTTATATTGTTATGTATTTTTTTATATCTGACTAATAGAGGATAAGATTTTTTTTAAATATATAATAGATCTAAATAAAATTAAAAGGCCGACAAAGTATAAAGAAACCGTTTATGCAGATACAAATCTGTCTCCGGCTAGGGTTGTCACAGCCCCTTGTAGGGTTGTCGCGTTCACAAATCTGCATATAACCGATGACTAACTTTTGTCCGTCTGTCGGAGGGGCCGTATCTGTTTCAGCTTGGTCGAGTGACCGTCGAATTTTATTTCAACGTCACAATCGCTCAGCGGGTGCGACACGGGCCCGCTGTTCCGGTCCGGGCTGAGGGGCGTCGCGAAGCCGCTGTCAATCGATTTGCTACCGGACTTCTCTGTGTTAGGACTCAAATTCAACGACATGCACTTTCTGCTCTGGAACAAAAGCAGGTCATCGATGTATGAGCCGCTTCTGGCTTCCTCCTGGCTGGGCAGCTCCGAGCTTGGCTGCGGATGTCGGTCCGAGCGAGCCGCTAAACCACCAGACACCTTCCCATCCAACTCTTTAAGCGCACACGATAGACCTTCGTCATTACCGTTCCTTTCATTCTCGCTTCTCTCATCTAAGGCCTTGAGAGGGTTTTTCGTGAGACCAGAATGCACTGAGAGGGATTTTTTCATTGTGAACCTTCTCCTGTCGTTTTCAGGCGAATATTTCTCGGCGACGTCTTCTTTGTTCGTCTTCGCAAAGAGATTCGGGGTGCTGATGCCTTTGTGAGTTCTCCTCTCATCTTCCTCTGCGGTCCTCGACGAGAACATCTTCGAGCCGAAGGACAGCCTCTTGCTGTGGCTCTGGACGATCCTCTTGATTTCCTGGGGCAGGTCGGCGCGCTGGTGGGCGCTCACGTACCGGCTCAGCAGCGTCAGTTGTTGCTCGATGCTCTTGTTGGCGGCTTCGAGACGGGCTTGGCTCTTTTGATAGTTTTCTATTGCCTCCATGGCTGACTGAAATTTTTATTTTTTTGTATTGCTTAGAAGCTTGGACAAGGTCATAGCCCACCTGATGTTAAGTGGTTACTGGAGCCCATATACATCTATAATACAACACAAATGCGCCACCCACCCTGAAATATAGCTAAGTATAGTTGCAATGGCTGCCCACCCTTCAAACCGAAACGCATTACTGCTTCACGGCAGAAATAGGTAGGGCGGTGGTACCTACTCGCGCGAACTCCCAAGAGGTACCACCAGTAATTACGCAAATTATAATTTCGCGGCTTTGATTTTTATGACACGATGTTATTCCTTCACCGCGGAAGTCAATCGTGAACATTTGTTAAGTAGGTACGTATTTCATTACAAAATTTCATTAGAAATTGGTACCCGCCTGCGGGATTCGAACATCGTTGCATCGCTATATACGAATGCAACAGACGTCTTATCCTTTAGGCCACGACGACTTCGGAAGATTCCCTGAGAAATTGTTTAGGACAAAATCTCATCGTCATCATCATCTTCCCTAGAACCTTGCTTTGATCTGGAGACCTTGAGATCTGGACATAGCTCCCCTCCACAAGGTTTCCCGAGCGCTACAACATGTCCTTCTTCAAACCAAGTTTGAGCAGTCTTTAGCATTAATTTTGCTTACGTTCACGAGCGAGGACCACCACATGCCATTTACGATCCATACGCCCTACCCCTAGATCCATTGCTTAAGATGTCCCTAATAGCCGGTTCGTGAAAGCACATTTAGCAAGACAAGCTGAACATAAGAACCGGTACCACAATCATTCCTCTTAAAAAAATATTCAAAAGAGAGGTAGGTAGGCAGCGGCTTGGCTCTGCTCCCGGCATTGCTGAAGTCCATGGGCGACGGTTACTACGGTGAAGTAGTAATACGTTCCGGTTCGAAGGGTGGGGCAGCCGTGGTGGGGGGGGGTCTCATCTGAAATAATTATCGGTGTGCTCACGTCCAGTTGCTCGCTCATTCGTCTGTTCTCCTCCGTGAGCTTCCGGTTCTGCTGCGTGAGGGTCGCCAGCCGCGGCATCTCCTCCCGCAGCACGGAGTACTCCACGGCGTACTCGCTCAGCTCACGGCTTATGTCCATCGAGAGGACCTATGCATATAAAAATGACGTACTGAAATCTCCTTTCTAGCATAAGTAACTGAAGCCTGCGGGATGTCAGGACCATAGGCAGCGGCTTGGCTCTGCCCCTGACATTGCTGAGGTCCATGGGCGACGGTAACAACTCACCATCAGGAGAGCCGTATGCTCGTCTCGTCTACAAGGGCAATAAAAAAAAACACACAAATTAGTTATAGATAAGCAACTCGAGCACTCAACAAAAATGTTTACCGGCGTCGGCCACTAGATGGCTTCGCTTCGATTAGTTTCTCATTGCTCCTGTAGATGGCAGTAACATATTATCTATCCTATATTTTATTTTAATGAGGCATTTTGTAAAAAAATTTTGAAATTGATAAAATTTAATCAATTTGTCTATAACAAATAAAGACTTGTATGATTTATTTTCATTTTTTATTTTCTGTGTTTAGTTATACAATAATTAAGTGCCTTAATTTTAACAACATAAGTTTAGGGGCACCCGCTACAAGATGTCGCTAGTTTCCATACAAAAAATATTTGTCTTAGTAGTAGTAGTAAGTAGTAGTTTTTTTTATACCCTCAGTGAAAGTTCAGTCAAACAAGTACTCGTCACAAGAGGTCATTGATCTGATTTTTAGACGTGTTACATTGCGTGCATCAAAATCATATAAATATATTATTAAGTTTTATTTAAAGGCATACCTTTTTCATTACTTTCTCGTACATCGGTTTGTCTATGTCCGGTAATTTATGTTTCAAATACTCGGCGGCCTCCTCGCAACTCTGACACAACATCAAACCGACTTTATGAACTGAGAGGAGAGAAAGAGACACAGCGAATACTATGTTTAGAGAGTCCAGGAATATCAGATCTGAAAGAAAGAGACGGAAAATTTTATAGTTTAGTATAGGACTAGAGGAGAGATGTAGGTCGGATCTGTGTCTGTTTGTATACGAGAAGATCTCGGGATCAGTACAGAGCTGCAGAGGACTGTGTCTATAGTAGTGTAGTATAGGACTAGAGGATAGATGTAGGTCGGATCTGTGTCTGTTTGTGGTGTGGTTCATACTCACCAAAGACTCTAACGACCAGCCCAAGCGGGAACTGACTCGTGAATAGCGTCAGCATCCACGGTGCCGCGTACAGCGCTGGCGAGATGTCCAGATCTTCTAACTTCGCGTGAAGTTCTGGTTCATGATCTTTTAAGAGTCTAGACAGTTGGTATAACTATAATATGGATAGAAAGAAATAATCATGATCATGTGTTTAAAAAAGATTTCGAATTAATTTGATTTTGCGGGTAGGCGATTCTCGTGGGTGTCGGAATGCGAGTCAGGGATTCCCTGGATAATAGGTAACAGTGTTCTTTGAGTATAATACCAGCGTAGTGCAGTCGTAATGCAATTGTGAGTCCGACCTCATGTCTCAAGGCAGGTGGCTGCGTTCATAATTCTATGCCCATGGGCTCCATCCTACGCAATAAACAAAATAACTATACAGTGTGCTTAGTGCGAGTTTATTAACGTTCTCGATAGTGTAAAAGTTAACTCAAATCTGAATGTAGTTAGAACAGCGCCCCTAGCGGCAAACGTAGGCAAACGTTCCAACTCCATACAAATTAGAGTTAACTTTTACGATATCGAGAACGTTAAAAAGCTCGCACTAAGCACACTCATTATAATTACTGTCTCTTCATTTGTTAAACATTGACAAATTTTTTTATTGCTTAGACGAGTGGAAGATCTCACAGACCACCTGGTGTTACGTGTTTACTGGAGCCCATAGACATCTACAACGTAAATGCCGTCACCCACCTTGAGATAAGAGTTCTAAGGTCCCAGTATAGTTACAACGGCTGCCCCACCCTTCAAACCGAAACGCATTACTGCTACACGGCAGAAATAGGCAGGGTGGTGGTACCTACCCGCGCGGACTCACAAGAGGTCCTACCACCAGGAAGTAAGCTCATGGACAACAGCAACGTCAGGGGTCATTGTAGATAGAGGTATTGGTAGATAGAGTTTGTGTGTCTGACCTGTACTTGGAGTGCACTCATGTCGGGCAGGTATTGCAGTCTCAGTCCTCTCCTGAACATTAGATGTCTTAGCAGAACGAACGCCTCCGCCTCCTCCATCTGCAAGGGAGAGGGCGACAGAGCTTAGCGAAGTATAGTGCGGCAGTGGTATATAGAGCGATTGCGAGCGTGAGCACTCGTGAGCACACTTCCAGTCGCGCCGACGGGGGTTATCTTGAACACACACCTAGCGGATACGCCAGTGAGCACTCGTGAACACAACCTTAGCGGCTGCGACTGTGAGCACTCGTGAGCACTCTTCTAGTCGCGGCGGCCGTAGGTTATCATGAACACATTTCTAGCGGTTGCGCCAGAGAGCACTTGTGAGCACACTTCTGGCTGCTGCCGCCATAGGCACTCTTGAACATAAATTCTCGTTACATAAACTTGTAAATGTTTACGAACTAGTGACGATTAGCTAATAACTATTTTATTACTAGCGACCCGCCCTCGCTTCGCTTCGGAAACATTACACTTTATTATTGATAGCTGAGTCCCTTGATGTTACCCGCGGTTATTGTCGTACCGCGGGTGACGCCGCGGAGCGAAGCTAGCTTAAGTTACTCCTTAAAATAATATCATCAGCTACCTATCAGTGAAAGTTTCGTCAAAATCGGTCCAACCGTTCCAGAGATTAGCCGGAACAAACAGACAGACAAACAAAAAATAAAAAAAATGTTACTTTGCTGTATGTACTGTATAAAAAGGGCGTCCCAGAACTCAACCTCAAACCATGTTTGTAACCATGATGGTTGAACATCCTGTATATTTATATGCATGTAGTAAAAAGCAGTTATTTCAATATTACAAACAGACACTCCAATTTTATTTATATGTATCATCATCATCTCAGCCTGTCTACTGTCCACTGCTGAACATAGGCCTCTCCAACTGACGTCCAGTGCGGCCGGTCCGTTGTTGTATAGATAACAGCTAACAACTTATACTATATCTTGTATACAAGAGCTGTACGAGGCGTGTTACGAATTTAGGTGTAAGTTAATGTATGAACGATACAGTGCCTGCCGAGAATTACTGCACATCGTCTTTCGGGATGACTAATTCGGCTAATTTCGGTTTCGTGCATCGTTATCTCGGTCGCACGGGACATTAACAGCCCTGTATTTATTAGTGGTTATTACGTCAGCATTGAGGATTATCGACGCATTCGAAAGAGGATCCGGATCTCCTTTGGTGTGCTCGCGCAACTACCTACCCTCAAATGTCGATGTGCGGTGATTAAGGTCGGGCACTGTACACTTACGTGCAGCAGCAGCACGCCGGCGACGAAGCTCAGCCCCTGACAGTAGCCGACATCAGGGTCGAGCAGGGAGTACGCCTTCAGAATGTTGTAGAGAGCCAGCTGGCCGGGACCGAGGGCTGATGCGAAATACGAGTGCTTGGGGAATGTGCGACCTGTTGCACAAGAAATAAGGTTGAATATCGTTTTAATTGATGCAGCTTATTCTTAGGACAGCTAGACCAAGACGTCAAATCTTGTGGTGGTTTAGAGCAGGGGTCCCCAAACTTATTTTGTCTACTGTCCGATTTGAGAATAAATTCATTTGTAGCGCCCCCATTTTTCTTCCACTTTAAAACCATATAGCGAGAGCTCAGTTAAGAATAAGAGTCCTCCTAAATGACATAACAAATCGCATCCCAAGCCTATAGACAACGCCCCCATTATTTTTCTGGGTCTCTTACCGCCCCGGCCTACAGCGCCCACGAGGGGGCGTTATCGCCCATTTTGGGAAAGACTGGTTTAGAGCGTTCACGTTTATTATATCCAAGGACTATGATGACTACACATCTTCAAAGTACAAGAAGAGTTGGATGCGTAGCTTAAATCACAGATAGACCACTGAGTTTCTAACCGGATCTCCCAGGGCCCTGAACCTGCGGTATTTTAAGACAAATATTTTTTTTTGTATGGCAACTAGCGACATCTTGTAACGGATGCCCCTAAACTTATATGTTGTTAAAGTTAAAGCATTTAATTATTGTATAATTAAACACAGAAAATAAAAAAAATATAAATCATGCAAGTCTTTATTTGTTATAAGACAAATTGATTAAATTTAATCAGTTTGTGGTTTCTGAAAATTTACAAAATGCTTCATTAAAATAAAATATAGGATAGATAATATGTCACTGCCATCTACAGGAGCAATGAGAAACTAATCGAAGCGAAGCCATCTAGTGACCGACGCCCGTAAACATTTTTGTTGAGTGCTTAAGTTGCTTATCTATAACTAGTTTATGTGTATTATCTATGGGATCTTCTCAGTGAGTCGTGATTCAGATCCGGTGGTAGATTCAGCGAAGCACTCCTCTTGCTAGGGCCAGTGTTAGCAACATCTTTTAGACTGTCTCTCGTTAAGGCTTAGACCGACACTCACCTAAGTCAATTAAGATAGCGTGCTGATGTTTCGTGAGGCCCGACAGTAGAGTGGTGTAGGGCGTGTGGTAGAGGGGGCAATGTCTGGTGTCCGGGGGCGGAGCCCTGAGGCAGGCCTGCTCCGCCAGGAAGTACCAGATGGCGCCGCGAGACACTCGGGGTACGCCTGCACAAATAAACGTTTTATTTATTTATTTATTTGAGAAATGAACAGTACAAAAAAACAAACATTTATTATTGTATTTTTTTTTTATTGCTTAGATTGGTAGACGAGTTCACAGCCCACCCGGTGTTAAGTGGTTACTGAAGCCCATAGACATCTACAATGTAAATGCGCCACCCACCTTGAGATATAAGTTCTAAGGTCGCAAATATAGTTACAACGGCTGCCCCACCCTTCAAACCGAAACGCATTACTGCTTCACGGCAGAAGTAGGCAGGTTGGTGGTACCTACCCGTGCGGACTCACAAGAGGTCTTACCACCAGTGTATTATTGTATTGTGGCGGGTAGCCATCATACAACGCAAGATATTTGACAGATGCCTGAATCTCGCTTACGACATTTTCAAGATAAGCTTGCATATATACAAACTCCGAACAACAACATTCGGACCGTCGGTTTACCGACATTTTTATTATTACCTGAAATTTATCTTTGTAATTAAAGACACATTTTATTTGGTACTAGCGACCCGCCCTCGCTTCGCTTCGGAAACATTAAATTTTATTATTGATAGCTGAGTCCCGCGATGTTACCCGCAGTTGTTGTCGTACCGCGGATGAAGCCGCGGGGCGAAGCTAGTCTAAAAAATGTAGCTTAAGTTACTCCTTATTTATATCATCAGCTACCTATCAGTGAAAGTCTCGTCAAAATCGGTCCAGCAGTTCTAGAGATTAGCCGGAACAAACAGACAGACAAAAATTGTATAAAATATATTTATATATATATATTCATATGCATGTAGTAAAAAGCGGTTATTTCAATATTATAAACAGACACTATAATTTTATTTATATGTATAGATTAGCATCAATAATTCGATGCTTTTTCGAATCTCAATTGTGTTTGCTCCATTCATATAGCTTAAGAAGCTTTTTTGTTATGATTTACATTTGCATAATAATATGTTTATACTTTAAATGTCTCTCCTGTAAAGTTGCAAGCATGTCACTTAAGCTTTCATCCCTCGATAAGTATATTTTAAGTACTTAACAAATGTTAAGTACGTATTTCATTAGACAAATTTGGTAGTTGTCAACGGAATTCGAACGCCGGCACGTTCGCATCGCTCGATACGAAGGCACCATGCGTTTTATCCTCCAGGCCGCGAGGACCCGACCAAAGTCGGTGGCAGTGGGAGGCGTACCCTGCATGACGGCCTGCGCGAGCATGTGGCGGTCGGCGGCGGCGGCGCGCTGCCCCCCGCCCAGCAGCAGGTCCCACGTGAGCGCGGCGCCGGGCTCGCACGCGCCCAGCTCGCTGTACTCCAGCTTCATCCGACGGACGGCAGACGACTCCTCGCTCTCTAAAATGATTCAATGTTTAATAATAAAAAATGTGAGCCGTCACGGGACGCCTGGCAGATGTGAAAAATCAACATTATTTTGTAAAAGTAATATGCAGAAAAGAACAGATTGTGATAGGAACTAAATATGTCATAATAATAAAATAAAATATTACGAAAAAATAATTTGTTTTCAAGTAAAACACAGGTTGTGTGTACTGCAGTAAACAACACTGTATACACTACGGAGTATACACTATAGGTATCCGAGCTCAGTGTACCGAGAGAGATGGCTTAACGCCGGATCGAGTGGGAGAGAATCGCACAGTCAATTGCACATGGGGACGCGTCGCCACGGCATGCGTCGCCACGCCAGAAATCGGTTTTACGTGCGGCTATAGATGTTTCACATCAATAACCAGCGATCGGGAAAAAACGCAAGATAGAATATTTCGACCACGTGCTCAGGAACGATAGATACATGCTGCTGCAGTTGATAATGATGGGCAAAGCGGACGGAAAGAGACGTGCTGGGCGAAGAAGTCATGGCTCCGGAATATCCGGGAGTGGACCGGTATTGCCTCCATCGAACAGCTGTTCCGGCTGGCTGCTGATAGAAATGAATACAGGAAGCTAACGGCCAACCTTCAGGTTTGAAGAGGCACTGGAAGAAGAAGAAGAAGAAGGTCGAAACGATGCGAAGGGGTGGTACCCTGACTGAGAAGAAACGTCCGTAACGTAAGTTTTTTTTTTTTTTAAAGGAATTTTGTTACCTGGTAACTAAAACCTTTAGGTCAAGTCTTATTTTAATTTTTAATCTTATCTTTATGAAAAATCATAATATGGAGTGAAATGAAATAAAATGAAATCAAGATGATTAATTTGAGACATTAATCAACTGGGATGAAATTAACAGAAATGAGATGAGATGAGATGGGATGAAATATAATTTCAGTAAAATTGGTCATTTACTAAGATTTTTTCAGTGGACTTTTTGGATCCCGAGAAGTGACGTCCAGCGGCTTTGTTTCATTTTCCCACATTTGTGTACTTTCACATATATTAAACAGTTAATAAACCACCGTTATTACACATTTAAACCTGAAGATACACTAAATTGACAAAATAAAACAAATCACATATCTTCACTCCTCGCGTTCCCGCCAAAAAGTCCGTAAGATTTTTATTATTTATGTATAACCTTAGTATGATGGCTATACAGTGTCTAATGTATAGTCTACGTGATGACGGTTACTATTATTTATTATTATTATTCAACATCAATAGCTGTGTCTTTGTATATTATTATTATTATATATATATTTTTTAAAGCATTGTAAATAAATAAAGTTGATAACTTTGTAAAGTAGTTTTTATTTTTATTAATAAAAAATGTATACCCGAATAATTATTTTCTTTATACCTCGAATAGAACTTAAAATCAATATTTTTATAATAAGGAACTTCGTTCCTATCCGGTGTCCCACGAAACCACACATCTTTTATTTTTATTGGTTAGATNTATATATATATTTTTTAAAGCATTGTAAATAAATAAAGTTGATAACTTTGTAAAGTAGTTTTTATTTTTATTAATAAAAAATGTATACCCGAATAATTATTTTCTTTATACCTCGAATAGAACTTAAAATCAATATTTTTATAATAAGGAACTTCGTTCCTATCCGGTGTCCCACGAAACCACACATCTTTTATTTTTATTGGTTAGATGGGTGAACGAGCTCACAGCCCACCTGATGTTAAGTGGTTACTGGAGCCCATAGACATCTACAACGCAAACGCCACCCACCCTGAGGTATAAGTTCTAAGGTCTCATAAATCTCATATAGTCTATAAGCCTGACCAACATCTTTACGTACCTTTTAATCTTTTGTTCTCTTTCTCCATCCTAACCAGCAGTATTGTCTGATCGATCGCCATCTCCCAGAGCCGCCTCAGCTCCTGACGGGACCGCTTGCGTTTCTCCTTGGAGCCACCTGATGAGGTCGAGGCTTGACCTGGAATCAACAAATCTACGTAATTCGCGAGCCGCAGCGGATGTCCAAAAATCGTTGTAACAGAGCCCGCAATGAATTCGGAACGTTTCGTGAACGCGCAATGTAATCGCAATTCGCGTTTCGTACGCGACCCACGAGGCAGCGTGAGGTCCAAGTCTCAACTGTGTCAATCCCCATCGACTAGTGTAGCTCGGATGAGACGGCTCGATGGGGCCGCAATGGACACAGCACGGCGTCGCCTACCCGCAAATAAAGCCCTATAGAATTTAATATGCAATTCCGTAAAGGGCTATGTCGCATACTTTGACAAACTAATTTTTTTATGTACATAAATATAATCTAAATGTTTCCCTGAATCTATTATATTCGAAAAGGGTACAACAATTCTGATACTAATTCTATTGTTCTCATGGTGAGTATAGAAATAGCTGCATTAAGCTATGACCATTACTGGTGGTAGGACGTCATGTGAGTCCGCGCGGGTAGGTACCACCACTCCACCTATTTCTGCTGTGAAGCAGTAATGCGTTTCGGTTTGAAGTGCGAGGCAACCGTTGTGACTATACTGAGATCTTAGAACTCATATCTCAAGGTGGGTGGCGGCATTTGCGTTGTAGATGTCTATGGAAAAAAAGGCCTTTAACCACCAAAATGTTTTGTCTCTTTCGCTCATATGACAATTACTGTATTACCGTCCTGTGCGTCGGTTCGCGTGATGGACTTCTCGTAGATCGCCTGTCGCCACGTGGAGTCCGGGCCGGGGGCTCCGTCCGAGGCCGCGGCGCGGGAGTCGCTTACTTTCATGAAACTGAAACAGACGGTAGTCATTGATCATGAAACTAAAAGAGCCGGTAGTCATTGATCATGAAACTGAAAGAGACGGTAGTCATTAATTGGCGTTTGTCGCGTTTCCGATCTGGTAGTGGATTCAATGAAGCACTATTAGGGCAGCAAAGTGTGTCAAGCTGAGCCCCATGAGCTCACCCAATAATAAGATATTGTTACGCCGGTAAGAGTAACACCATCTATCGCCGAATAGTCGAACGAATATCGAAGGATCTAGTAGCACCTAGAACGCTCAAGTACAACGCTATCTATTGTCAGATAGCGGAAACACGATACTAGAGATGTGTGGAATATTCTCGATAATTCTAGGGATGTGGTATCGACTATAAAATCGTTGCAGAGATGACACGGAGGCAGTCAATAATCGGAACTACTGGAAGCGAAACAGCGAACGGATCACCTAAAGCGAAACGGACGCAGTGAATTAAGAATTTTAAAGTGTTTGTGAAGTGTTTTAAGTGTTCTGAGTGTTGAATACAGTTTTTAGTTGTACTTTGTTGGGCCATTTATATATCCCGAACGCGTAACCAATATAATATGGTATGGTATGATATGATATTTATCGACCCACTGAGAAGATCCGGTGAGAAATTCAGTGGGCTNGGATCACCTAAAGCGAAACGGACGCAGTGAATTAAGAATTTTAAAGTGTTTGTGAAGTGTTTTAAGTGTTCTGAGTGTTGAATACAGTTTTTAGTTGTACTTTGTTGGGCCATTTATATATCCCGAACGCGTAACCAATATAATATGGTATGGTATGATATGATATTTATCGACCCACTGAGAAGATCCGGTGAGAAATTCAGTGGGCTATGTCTGTGGGTTAATTCGCTGATCGAGCCCTTCGTCGCAAGCGACGGGTTCGACGAGGACGGTGATCGGTGCTCGAGGTACCTAAAACGCCGTTAATGGATCGGAAGGATCCGTAATGATGTGTTTAGGGCGACGTCGACTGTTTACCATTCGGTCCGCAGAATCGGGAATGGCAGTAGTAACGGTGGTGCTTCACTAACTGTATTGGGTAGACACTGACACGAAGGATGGATAACACAGTGAGTATTAATATGTACTGCCCGAAGGTCCCAAGATTGCCCAAGTATCTCCGAACGTGTTTTAAACAACAACAATGAATTATGGCCTAAGATCACAAGCGAAAGCGTTTTTGTCGAATCTTAAGGCGGTTGCCCAAGTAGTGGCGGATAAGCGAGTCGTCACGGCACCATTCCACTCTTTTTATATGTTCCATTGCTACCAGTCTAACAGGCACAAAATTATTTATATTCCTATACGAGCACTCACATGTCCATCATGGGGGAGGTGACGGTATCCCCGTCCCCCTTCGCCCCCTCCGAGTCGCCCCTCTCCTCTGACGGCAGACTGGTCTTCGGGACGGGGTTCTCTGGAATGTCAACTCATTGACTCAAATGTCCCACATAAAACTGCCTTACGAAGTCATCGTCGACTAAAGGATAAGACAGCCGGTGCGTTCGTATCGAGCGATGCGACCGTGGTTCGAAACCCGCAGACGGGTATTAATTTTTCTATTCAATTTTTTTTTATTTCCCTTGTAGGCAGACGCGCATACGGCCCACCTGATGGTGAGTGGTTACCGTCGCGCATAGACTTCAGCAATGCCAGGGGCAGGGCCAAGCCGGGTACTCTCCACAAGCCTCGTTTGAAGAAGGACATGTCACAGCGCTCGGGAAATACCGTGGAGGGGAGCTCATTCCAAAGCCGGATGGTACGTATTTATTTAATCTATGCTCAAGAATGAGTTTATAGAAAGGAAACCCGTAAAATCCAGGAGAAAGGTATTAGAGGAGGCCACGATCCTCAGTATTGAGGATTATCAAGGCAAGGAGGAGGAGAATTGCTGTACAAATCAAGCTCACGTTGTGATCTCCATGAACTTCCGTAACCACTTATCTGAACCGAGAGATGGTTGGACAGTCTGAGCACCGAAAAAAAAAGGTTAAAAAGAAAGGCTTTAATAGCAAACCGAATTAACAAGTGATATTATTTTTTTACCTGTAAATATCCGTCAGGTTCGAAGGTTCAACTCACCGTCATCCTGGCTCGTGGTGCGAGAGAGCGACTTCCCGTGCTCCTGTGTCGGAGTGTCCGGCGCGTCGGTCGGAGTCTGTGCAAGCGGCGTGGGCGCCGGAGATGTATCCTAGCAACATCAGAGCAGTGGTACTCTTTATTTTTTTATGGCTTAGATATGGAATGAGAGGACCACCTGGTTAAGTGGTTACCGGAGCCCATAGATGTCTACAGCGTAAATGCCGCCACCCACCTTGAAATATGAGTTCTGAGGTCTCAGTATAGTTACACAACTGCCCCGTCCTTCAAACTGAAATGGATTACTGCTTCACGGCAGATATAGGCGGAGTGGTGGTACCTACCCGTGCGGACTCACAAAAGGTCCTACCACCAGTACTTTTGCGACATGAGACGCTTTGGAACTAAGGCCTTGGTGAACATTTGAGGCGACTCAAGTATCTGCCTATAGCAGCGTCCACAGTGCGTCTCTAGCGACCTTCATGTCCGGCTCTGGAATGAGCTCGCCTCTACGCTGCTTCTCGTGCGCTATGACCTTGGTTTGCGGAGAGTACTAAGCGGTAGATAGCGGCGTGTATGTGCCAGTATCGGTGAAGTCCATGAGCGACGGTAATCACCACCCGGTGGGCTGTAAGTTCATCTGCCCCCAAAAGCCTCAAGTATTACGATAAGACCCCACCCTTAATATCCATTACGGGACTATAGGCGTCAGAATAACGCCTGCTAGAATCCATTTTGCTTTGGCGAACGACCTTTCGTCCCGCCTGGTGAGAAGACCTTACCGAAGCTCAAAAACTGCGTCCAGTGCCAATGTGACTTCGACCTTGGACGAGCGATATACGGTCACGCTGTGATGTTTAGCAGGTAACACCAGAGATCTCCAATCCAGCGGGGAGAATTGCTCCATAGACCGATGTCCCGAATGTTTACCGTTCGGAGTTTTGTATATATGCGAACTTATCTTGAGAATGTTGTTAGCGAGCTACAAGCATCTGTCAGATATTTAATGTGCTATGATTGAGCTATCAGCTACAACGTTTATGGGTGGTATGTGAATCCAATACTGCAGACAAGGAACTACCTTTTTGACTTGAGCAACGAGTCCTTCATCTCTGCTGGCCTTCCTCTTCAGGAGATGATCGAAGCCGCTCGACAAAGACCTCTTGGCCTTCATGAATATGGTGCTGCCGCCAAGGTATTGATTCAGGAACTCAGATCTGAAAATTCCGGTCCCACTCTTAATTCTGGGACTGACCGACACAAGTCTATCCGGTTACGCATCAGATCTGATGGGTAGCCAGATAGAGGATCCCGAATAATTTCTGCATTTGCTGTTAAACCAGCACAGTACCTTCGCTATACCTATTTCTGCTACAAAGCATTCGTTAATTCCAATTTGAAAGTCTTTATAATACTATTAGAGCTTCAATCGGATGTATTCATACCGCGGCAACGGTGCTGTCCACGAACACAAAAATCACATTTTGAAAAAAGAAACAGGCTGTATTTTTTTTGTTTTATTCGAAGGCAAATGATTTTATTTTTGTCACCTAACTTGCATGTCAATATGGTTGGTATACTTTCTTTTTTGATTTGCATAAATACTTTGGCATTGCTGAAGTCCATGTGCGACGGTAACCCCTCACCATCAGGTGGGCCCCATGCTCGTCTACCTACAAGGGCAATAATAATAAAATTATAAAAAATACGTACCTGTTTTCGGCAGTGTCGTGGACGTGCCTCTGCTGCTTGGCCTCGCAGTGGGCTCGGAGGAGCATCATCAAGAACGAATTGTGTTCGCTGGTCTAAATCCCCGAAAAATTGCATTAACGTTTCAGCTTCATATAATTCAACTATTGCAACCTATCAATCTAGACGATGGGTGCACGTGCTAAGTGGTAAATGCTGTAAGGTAGTCAGAGATGGTAACGTCACTACGGTTTTACCATCACTCTACTGGTAGCAGAGCTCATATATGTAACGATCCTTCATCCAGGTAAGCTAAGCGGTGTGCTTTGCACAACATGACCACCGTCCACCTTGAGACACGAGGCTTAAGTCTCGACTGTATAGTGGAATATTCCCATCTTTCAAACCACAAGATTCCTTCGCGGTAGAAGTAGCTAGAATAGTGGTAGCTACCCGAGAGCGTTCACAGCATACCGGTGTTTATATTGTTGTTGTAGTCCTAGTTTAAATAGTTAATATTTATTTTGTGGTTAAATTAAAATAAGTAGTGTTCGCGATCGAAATTCGACCGTAAGCACTAATGCTTAAAATTAAGATTCCTATTACATTGTTGTCTAGCAATTTTATTTCGTTATTTTGAGAAAAAAATCTATTAAATATTTGTTTTGTTTTTTATTACGTAAATATATTTGTGTGTACGTTAAAAATTCAATAATTTAACGAACTTTTCTTACTTGTAAAAATACCGAATAAATGATAAAAAAATTATCGGGACAATTTTGTAAAAAAATATTAATATCATTAGCGTGCTTTAAAACTATTACCGAAGATCATAAACAGGTAACACGGATGAGAAATGTGTGCCATCAATGTATATCAAACGGCACGTAATGTAACACAAATTTTAAATTCAACTGACATTTTAGTAGCTCGCTTACCTCATAAATCAAATTGGTTCCACCCTGGTACTTGGTGATGATGAGATCCTGTTCGTCTTCAGGTAGCTGTTCTATCCTACGCAATATAAAGGCGTGGGTTCTTTTCTCCGTCATACCTTTAGACAAAGACCGTGAAATAAAAATTTAAACAAAAAGAAAACAGACTTCAATTATGATGATAATAGCAATAATGCAGTCGAAGACAATTTAATGTGCATCATTAAGGATCATATTCATATATATTATTTTTTTATTGCTTAGATGGGTGAACGAGCTCACAGCCTACCTGGTGTTAAGTGGTTGCCGGAGCCCATAGACATCTACAACGTAAATGCCGCCACCTTAAGATATGTGTTCTAAGGTCTCAGTATAGTTACAACGGCTGCCCCACCCTTAAAACCGAAACGAATTACAACTTCACGGCAGAAATAGACAGGGTGGTGGTACCTGCCCGTGCGGACTCACAAGACGTCCTACCACCGTTAAAACACATAATTACATCAGTGCGCCACATAGGGCAACAGTGATCTACATGTCAGTCAAAGTGTTAATAACACCTACCCTCAATATCGTGACACAGCCGGTGGTACCACAGCATGGGACAATGTTCGCACGTCATGTTCGGCGACTTATCCCGGGATTTCTTCAACAGGTCCGCATGCGCCACAAACGCTTGTCGGATGGCTGCAAACGAATTAAGCAGGGTAGTTTTTGTATTGAAATCGGGCAACACTGAACCGATGTTGGGTGTTACCAGGGTTTTTTTTTATTTATTTTTTATTGCTTTGATGGGTGGACGAGCTCACAGCCCACCTGGTGTTAAGTAGTTACTGGAGCCCATAGACATCTACGACGTAAATGCGCCATCCACCTTGAGATATCAGTTCTAAGGTCTCAGTATAGTTACAACGGCTGCCCCACCCTTCAAACCGAAACGCATTGCTTCACGGCAGAAATAGGCAGGGCGATGGTACCTACCCACGCGGACTCACAAAAGGTCCTACCACCAATAATTACGCAAATTATAATTTTGCGGGTTTGATTTTTATTACACGATGTTATTCCTTCACCGTGAAAGTCAATCGTGGTCACTTACTAAATACGTATTTCATTAGAAAAATTGGTACCCGCCTGCGGGATTCGAACACCATTGCATCGCTCAACACGAATGCGCCGGACGTTAAGACGTCCGTGGAAAGGATAAGTCCTTTAGGCCACGACGACTTGTAAAAGTTCGCTTTTTGCTGTCGACACCTACCGTTCACCACTTCGCCGGCAACCGAGTCGCTCTCGCATTTGAAGACATAGCAGGCGTACGTTTCGTTCGTTTCTCTGCAAACGAATCCGAAATGGTCCTTATTGTTCTGGCCTAAGACGCAACTGGCGACGTCCTTGAACGCCCTGTGCAGCAAAATCTGCTTTCTGTCTGGACTTATAAGGCGCAATTCTGAACGGCCGACCTAGATAAATCAAAACACAGTGTGCTAAAGTCAAATTGCCTATTTTTACCGTGAAGCAGTAATGCATTTCGGTTTGAAGGGTGGGGCAGCCGTTGTAACTATACTTGAGGCCTTAGAACTTATATCTCAAGGTGGGTGGCGCATTTACGTTGTAGATGTCCATGGGCTCCAGTAACCACCTAACACCAGGTGGGCTGTAAGCTCGTCCACCCATCAAAGCAATAAAAAAAATTAAAAAATTTGCTTGTCTTTCGAAGTTCAATTTTAAATTGAAACTAGCTGACCCGGCAAACGTTTGCCATATAAATTATTTCTAGGAAGATATCGAATGCAGCGCCATCTGCCGGGCTGATTTTTAAACCTAAACCATCCAAGGCGCCACCCAAATGCATATACATAAATTCATTCAAATCGGCCCAGCCGTTTAGGAAGAGTTCAGTGACATACAGACGTACAGTAGAATTATATATAATACGAGGAGGGATCAAAAAATAGTGAGAACGACATACTCCTTGGTAAGAGCCAATACAATACTTTTTTTTGAAAGGGATTGAAGCCTTGGAAAACTCGGTGTAGACTTTTTATTTATTTATTGCTTAGATGGGTGGACGAGCTTACAGCCCACCTGGTGTTAAGTGGTTACTGGAGCCCACAGACATCTACAACGTAAATGCCGCCACCCATCTGGAGATATGAGTTCTAAGGTCTCAAGTATAGTTACGACGGCTGCCCCACCTTTCAACCTGAAACGCATTGCTGCTTCACAGCAGAAATAGGCAGGGCGGTGGTACCTACCCGCGCGGATTCACAGAGGTCCAACCACCATTAATAAATTATTAAGTTATCAATAGTCATTATATTCTATCTCATTCTCACTACTTTTTGATTCCTCCTAGTATAAAGATGATTATAAAAAAATCATTAATTACCTGAAACAGCATCGTGCGATTCTGTTCACAGATCAACTGCGCTAGAGGCGTTTTACTGTTAATTGTGCCTATCGAAGCCGATCTGTCTCTTAAGAACGGCCTATTCTCGGGCAGACTCTTAGCGCCTTCACTCCCGAAAGCCGGTTTCCTTTTAATCTCGTCGAAATTGAAATTTCTTTCTCTTTTCGTTTCACCGTCTCCGTCTTCTGGAGCTCTAGTTGCTTCTTTACTAATGCCTACTTCGATCTTCTCTTCATCTTCTTTTACGGTGCCCAGATTGTTCTTCGGCAGATTCAAAACTAGATCGGCGCTCTTCTTTACAATTTCGATTCTCTCTTTCGTGAACTGATCGAATTCTGCTTCGATTTGTGTAGAGTCTTTTCGTTTTTCCGTTATAGTTTCTACGCTGCTCCATCTATGCGATTTCTGGGGCTCTAGGGGCGTTGTGCTCGGCGAAGCGAACCTATTGCTTAAGTCGTTTGTCTTTTGCGATTTCTTATCGTCCGACAGATTGTCGGTTGAATCATTACTGTCTATTGAGGTCTGAAATATTTTACATATAAAACCTAAGTATTTAAGTTAAATATATAAGTATATATGAAAGGTTATTTAATTAAAGCGACATTGTAGCAAACTTTACAGGAGAACCATTTCAAGTTTAAAATTTGGGAAAAAAATTATCATGACAAATAACAACTTCTTCAGCTATTTGAATGGAGTAAACTTAATTGAAATTCAATTAAAAACATCGAACTGTTTTGTTTTTTTTTGATGGGTGAACGAGCTCATAGCCCAACTGGTGTTAAGTGGTTACTGGAGCCCATAGACATCTACAACGTAAACGCATTACTGATTCACGGCACTGAGTTATCTCTACCAATAAGCATAAATACTCCTGTGAGCTTAGTGCGAGCGTTTTAAAGTTCTCGATACCGTATAAGTTAACTCAAATTTGATTGGAGTTGGAACGTTTGCCTACTTTTGCCGCTAGGGGCGCTGCTCCAACTGCATACCAATTTGAGTTAACTTTTACGCTATCGAGAACGTTAAAAATCTCGCACTAAGTACACTGGACATAAGCCTCGCCCCAGCCACGCCAGAACGATCAGTCCTGCGCTGAATCCAACGGATTCCTACGATCTTCAACAGTTCATCAGTCCACCGCGAGGGATCCCTACCCATCCTACGTCTTCCGGTACGCGGTTGCCATCTAACACCTTTTGGCTATAGCAACATTGTTCTCCTGAAAATCTCTCCATTAATAAACTCTGAAACCGACTCACCGTGGTGGAAGATAGCAGACTGTGTCTCCTCCTCAGAGCTTTCTCTGCATCGTACAAAGCGAATTTGTGTAAAGCATCATCTATTAATGTTTCTGGTACCTTCCTCTGCGATATCCGAACTTTGCCGATATACAAGACCTGCAAATGGAATAATGCGATAAGCCCTCGTCAAGGACTTACAATGCTTCGGCTGCCACGTCAATCTGTTATTGGGAAATTCTTAATAAGAACCTCAACAGATCCACTGTTGAGATTAACCGCTTCCACCGTAACAGTCGCGCTGACCCATTAGAGGAGATTACAATCAGCTACTTCCTACGTTCTTATATTGGCTTTGTTGATATTCTAGAGTAGTGGCATCATCCTGAAACTATTCTTCTTCGTGCAGCGTTTATTTCAAATCTAAATCGCCTTATGGCGGATTGATAGATATTCCTTCTCTTTTCCTACCTATTCTTATAGCCTCGAGGGGTTATTCTAGATTCACCGAACTAGTAGGTGAGCTCGAAGGGCTCAAACCTGACGTCGTTGCGAATATTAGCCCTAGAAATAGCAGTGATTCGCAGAATCTTCCACTGGATCGGAAAAGCGACTCACTTAGAAGATCCGGCGAGAAACTCAGTTAACTGTGCCTGTGGGTTAATTTACTCGCCGAGCCCTTTGTCGCAAGCGACGGGTTGGACGAGTACGATGACCGGTAGATATTCCGTCATTTTTAATAACTCCTTTCGTTGTACAAGAATATAAATATGGCGTCATATATTGCCAGCAGATGGCAGCATTCCCACTGCAGTATCTACCTACGGTAACCCCTTCACACGAGATAGACCATGGACCAGTACGTCCTATGCAGTAAATAACAATCCGGTGGTAGCGACGTGCTGTATCACGGTGTTCCGATTCTAGCCCTATCGTATATACGTAATTCAGGGTCTAAGTGTGGTTATACCTTCCTTTTGCGCATACAAGTATTTCCAGGAAGAGTAACAAATTATTCACACAAATACCAGACGTGTGGACTAGTGTTCTCACATGTTAAATGACCGGTGTTAAGTGACACTCAGCTTCTTAGTAAACACTGTCGCATTAAAACATGAAATATGACGTCGAAGTTTCCTTTTGATTGTTTGGCTTCGTGAACGAGCCCACAGCCCACTTGGTGTTATATGATAACGAGAGCCCATAGACATCAACAACACAAATCCTTGAGACATGATTTCTAAGGTATCGATTTCAAACCGAAACGCATTGCTGCTTCACGACAGAAATAGCTAGGATGGCGGTACCTACCCGAGCTGTGCGGGTTTATGTTATAAAGCAGCTATAGCACCTTTCAAATCCTTATAGTACCTACTTGTACTAGCTGAAAGTACAACCTACCACATGTAAACGTTTGTTGAGCGACTCACCTCGAAGAAATGAGAGTTTGAAGGCGAGAGATCAGCGCTGAGCGAAGCCAAGACTGGTACGTGACTGGTACTCTTCACAGTCGTGGGAGATTCACCGGTCCTTAAATTATTATATTATATATTACAAATTAGTTTATTGTCGATTTTAGTCTAAGATCCGGCTGCAGGATTAGTGTGCTCATCGGTTTTTGCTAAAACCCATATTTATATTTATAATTAGGAAGATATCCATCTACCAAGTTGCCTATCAAAATTTGGCCGCTGCAGCCGGATCTCGTACTATTTGTTCGAACAGTACTTCACTCTGCTGCCCCGCTCTTCAAACCGAAACGCATTACTGCTTCACGGCAGAAATAGGCAGGGTGATGCTACCTACCCGTGCGGACTCACAAGACGTCCTACCACTGGCAATTACGCAAATTTTAATTTGCGGGTTTGATTTTTATTATACGATCTCATTCCTTCTCTGCGGATGTCAATCGTGAACAATTGATAGGTACGTATTTCATTACAAAAATTAGTACCCGTCTGCGGGATCCAAACACCGGTGTATCGCTAGATACGAATGCACCGGACATCTTATCCTTTAGGCCACGACGACTTCATTTCAGACTAAGCTCAAGAAACAACGCCATACTCACAGATTACTGTTACAGTTTCCGGTTAACGCCAGAGGCGGGGTCCAAGGTAAGTGCTCCGAATTGTTCTGCTGAAGGAAGCCCACGTTCTTGGTGACCGCGCCGCTGGCCAAAGATCCCGTCGAGCCCTTAGGGCTAGGCGCGCCCGGTGACGGGTCGCGCATCTGGCTGAAGAGATCAGTTACCTGTGGACGATAACTGGTCTGTAAGGCTGGTTGCCAACGACCACATCTCAGTGCCAGACGCGTGGTTCGCTGAACACGTGGGGCTAAACTATACGCTGTATAGACGATAGATTATATTTATTAATTTATTTACAAACAGACAAGCATAGAAACAGCAGTAGAAATTAAGAATAGACGGTAGATTACCTCGTTTGCAAAAATTTTGCGAATAGCTAAAAGTGAGAGGTGTGAGAATGATAGATTAGGCACTTATGACATGTTTATTAATCTAAGTTACCGTAAAGGAAGAATGAAATGTTACAATTATTTACAGATAAAAATCTTATTACTTCATACAAACAGTGATTGAATTATCGCTGCCAATAATGATATTAACATTTTTAAATTAAAACAACTTTAAAAAAATATAGGTACATATTAAGAGTCAGATATTAATGTGTAATGTTTTAAGTTACTAACATAGATTATGAGTCATACTAACAAAATGTATGGTTTTTACTGAAATAAAGGTTTATTATTATTATTAGTATCATTAGTAGTAACATCACGCTAAGATCAATACAAGCGGAGCACCAATGAAGAATGTTTCAAAATCGTTTTTTCTTTCTTTTTGAATTGATAGCCTCCTCTTTTGAAGTCGGTTAAAAAGCGTGATTTTGGTACCTTAAATAGCTCCTTAACATTCTATTATTCAAAAATATTTTCACTTTCTACGTAAATGAAGAGGCGGGTAAAGTTTAGCGTTACGCCAAAGTAACTATTCCACGCGGACGAAGTCGCGGGCAAAAGCTAGTTTATTTATAAAAACTTTGTATCCCTTTTTACGAAAATTGCGCGGAAGGAGGAATATGAAATTTTCCACACTTATAGAGATTATAGAGAAGAAGTGCACAATGCTAATTTTTTTTTTTTAAATAATGCATAAAAGATACATTAAATCAATAAAGAAAACATTACACACACTACCATGTATTTGACACACACACATACACACCCGCATGCATACTATTTGTTTATTCTCAAACTTTTCTTTGCAGGCTGTCAGTTATAATCTGTCAAATTGAGAATAGATTAAATACTGTTTTCTCTTTATTATTATTTGTCTAAAGTGTAGTCTTGACGAAATCTGTGATTATAGAAGTATAATAAATAGACCTTGACAATAGAATCATAATAGTGTACAAACTTAAAATTTCCATTAGTCATAGTCGAATTTCGACTACCAGGGGACCACTAGTCTTATTAATTACAGAATATTTTTTTAAAGGATATTAAAAGTACAATTTTTAAAAAAGACCATGTAAAAATAGATTGCCACTGATGGCGGTGTTAACGACACAAGCCACCAGTGTAGTTAAGACTCCAGAGTGAGAAACCTCCTCACAATGCGCGCAGTATCTTTTTATTATTCTTATTATACACTACAACATTTATTTAAAATCTTATTAATAATACAATATTGTTTATTATCTTATTATTAAATACTTATAACGTGGTTTTGTTGTCGGCTGTGTTTCATACGATCCCCGATCGCGTGCAACGCGGCACGTGCATAACAATTGGTAACAAATTCATCAATTTGTTACGGCAAACAAAACAATCAAGAGCATCCGACGTCATCTTACGTGTTCGATCAATTCGTCGTAAACATTGTGAATGATGTTTCGCACTAAGCGATGGAGTATTTATATTTACAAAACACGTTTTTCTTACGATTAAAAATACATCCAGGGCTGAAAGACTATTTTTGGTTTAAGCGACATTTTCGCAACTTTACAGGAGAGCTATATAAAAGGCTAGCGACCCGCCCTCACTTCGCTTCGGAAACATTAAATTTTAGTATTGATAACGGAGTCCCGCGATGTTACCCGCGGTTATTGTCGTACCGCGGGTGAGGCCGCGGGGCGAAGCTAGACTAAAAAGTAGCCTAAGTTACTCCTTATATCATCAGCTACCTATCAGTGAAAGACCCGTCAAAATTGGTCCAGCCGTTCCAGAGATTAGCCGGAACAAACAGACAGACAAAAATTATAAAAAATAGTATTTTGGTGATGTACCGAATATAATAATATATTCATATGCATGTAGTAAAAATCGGTTATTTCAATTTTTCAATATTACAAACAGTCACTCTAATTATATTTATATGCATAGATTAAAATTTGGAATAAATATATCATAACAAAAAAAAAATACTTCAGCTATTTGCATGGAGTAAACTTAATAGAAGTTCAATTGAAAACATCGAACTGTTGATGCTAAATAATACCAAATAAAACGGACCTTTAATTACAAAGATAAATGTCGCGTGTTAAGCGAAATGACGCTTAAACCGAATAACCTTTCACCTCTCGATATGATTAATAATAATTACGGGCAGGTTTCTCAGAACACGAGCACCTATTTGTTTAAATGAAGACTACGAATCCGGTTTATAAGCATTTATAAGTTTGAAGGTAATAAATAATTTGAATTTAAATTTGTTTAATATTAGGTCCTTTATCTTTCGCCAGCCGTACACACAAATCAAGATTACGTTTATGGTTTAATCCTACCTTTATTATGTATTAATTTAGTACAATATCCAAAAGCCAAAAAAAAAGAACGTTTAGAATACTTGACCAGCTTCAAAAGCTTGACGAACACGCGTCACAAACATTCAGGCTTATTCGTATTTGTTATCACGTCATTTCGGATCCTCCCGATCCACTAAAGGTGCTTTTAGTTATCTCAAGCACCGATCATCGTTCTCGTAGAAGCCGTCGCTTGCGACGAAGGGCTCGGCGAGTAAATTAACCCACAGACTCAGTCCACTGAGTTTCTCGTCCGTGTTAGCAACGTCGTCAGGTTAGAGCCCCGTGAGCTCACCTACTAGCCCGGTGACGCTGATATGGTCTCTCAAGACCATCAGCTTAGGTAGGAAACAAAAAAAAAAACAATATCCAAAAACCAAAACAAAAGAACGTTTAGAATACTTCACAGCTTCAAAAGCTTGACGAATACGCGTCACAAACATTCAGGCTTACTTGTATTTATTATAAACTTCAGAATGTATCTGTACTAAAATATAAATCTACAGTGGTATTTACGGATGTTCCGTTATAACTACTGAACCATGCATTCGATTGACTTGAAACTTGGTATCCTTGTAGAATATAAATGTACTTAATGGATAGGTGCACTTACTGGTGGTAGGACCTTATGTGAGTCCGCGGGGGTAGGTACCACCACGCCGCCTATTTCTGCCGTGAAGCAGTAATGCGTTTCGGTTTGAAGGGTGGGGCAGCCGTTGTAACTATACTTGAGACCTTAGAACTTACATCTCAAGGTGGGCGGTGCATTTACGTTGTAAATGTCTATGGGCTCCAGTGACCACTTAACAACAGGTGGGCTGTGAGCTCGTCCACACACCTAAGCAATAAAAAAATAGCTAATATTTATACGAGTGTTGGACTCCCTAATAATAATGACAATAAATTATAATGTTAATTTTAAATGCCCAGCGAAGCGGGTGAGTACGGCTAGTATTATATAAAAAAGGAGGTGTATTTTAAACGCGACATTTCACCGACACCAGTGCGAGATACCTTTTAGTAAAATTAAAGTGACATTAATATGGCCTTGTGCCTCGATTGGTTTTGGTGAAAACCGTTTTCGTTGACCGAATCACACCTTAAGGAGTTCAATGTAATAACAGACCGCTTTTTTTATATGTCATTAAAATATAAAAAGCGGTTCGGACCGGAGAGATTGTGATGTTTGAGAGTTCTCTGGTGAATTGCTTGAAATTATCCCGACCTTGTGTAATTATTCTAAGATCCCGACAATTCTTTTTTGGAACCGCACCACCCACCAGGGAGACGAGGAGGGCCAAGGTCCTCCACCTCCCCGAATTCTTCGCAGGAGACTACGCTTTGAAAAGGGCACAGGAGGCGCTCGCCCCGCAAAACCAACTACCGACTAAACCCCATCGACCTCCACCACACCGGCTACACCAGACCTACGGTACCGCAGTGTGCGCCAAAAAGGTACCACCGCCCTGCCCATTTCTGCCGTGAAGCAGAAACGCGTTTCGGTATGGAGGGCAGCCGTTGTACTCTAAATTCAGACTTAGAACTCTAATCTCAAGGTGGGTGGCGGTATTTACGTTGTAATGTCTATGGGCTCTAGTAACCACTTAAACGCATATCTGACAGTGAATTCGTTCAACCATCTAACCCAGCCTTTCTCAAAGTGGGCGATAACGCCCCCTTGTGGGCGCTGCAGGTCTAAAGGGGGGCGGTAAGTGACTCAGGAAAAAAGGGGAGCATTGTGTAGAGGCTTGGGAGGCGATTTGCAATTTCATCTAGGAGGGCCGTTAGACACCGGCTGAGCTCTCGCTACAGTAATTTTAAGTAGGTGAAAAAATGGGGGCGATAAAAAATTATTTGTTCTCAAAATGGGCAGTAGACAAAATAAGTTTGGGAGCCTCTGATCTAACCAATAATGATAGGTATCATTGAAATCTACATTTAAAAACAACAGATAAACTAATTAAACTAATAAGACTTGACTCTCCCCTCGAAACTGCTGATGGCTCTGTCCCTGGCATTGCTGATGTCCATGATCAACGGTGACGGCTTACCACCAGATGGACCGAACGCTCATCTATCTCCAAAAAAAACAATAACGCGACCATTGGAATGTAGCAACCAAAAAGCATTTAATGGTAGTTTTCCAATGACAGCACAAGAGCGCATTATGCGGCATAATGCTCAACGTTAAATGTTCCAACTTCAGCAACGCTTCGCACAATCGAGCACTCTCAAAAGTACTGCTCTCGCGTGATACTCGCAATCGATACCGACTCAGTGACAGAAAATTGACAAATGTTTTTTCTTTAAGTTGGCATTGATCGAAATTTTGTTTATATTATCGTTAGTAATCTATATATTAATACGTGAAGCAAAAACTTTGTATCCCTTTTTACGAAAATTGCGCGGACGGAGGAGTATGAAATTTTCCACACTTATAGAGAATATAGAGATGAAGTGTACAATGCTAATATTTTTTTAAAATAACGCATAAAAGATACATTAAATCAATAAAGAAAACATTACACACACTACATACCATGTATTTGACGCACACACGCATGCATACTATTTATTGTCAAACTTTTGTTCTTGACGTCTGTTGTCAAATTGAGAATAGATTAAATATTGTTTGTCTTTATTAATATTTTTTATAGTGTAGCCTTGACGAAAGTTGTGATTATAGAAGTATAAAATACAATCATGATAGTGATGATACAAACTTACAATTCCAATTAATTATAGTCGAATTTCGACTACTGCGGGACCACTAGTATTATTTAATGTCGAAAAAAATTGTAAGGCTTTCGTTGCGTCGTAGTTTCTTAGAAATAATCAATGTTAATTAAAACTGTGCTAACTTAGCGCACTCTGCTGATGCATTTGAAAAGTAATTCATGTTCCAATTAAGCTTCAGCATAATTCGGCATTGTGCGTCACTGAGTCGCATTATGCTCTGTAATTTGGAAAACTACCAATATAAACCGTACAGCGTAATTCTGTATAACTATGCGAAACTTGACTCGTTATTGGATTTTATCTCAGTACTGTAGGTACACGTGCGATCGATTGTAACATGTGTTTAGCACGTTCACAGCGGCCGTTTTGTTTATTTATTTCAATATAATCATTAAAGTGGTTAATTTTTTTAATAATTTCGGAATAGATAGAAATTTTGGACTTTAGGGACATAGTTAAGTGCAATTTAAAGAGATATGTTTATAATGTAGGGACATAGTTAAAGGTAATTTAGACACACTTTAGTGACATATTATAAGAGTATGTTTGAAATGCAGGGACATCGTTAATGGTACTTTAAAGACAGGTTTAAAATTTAGAGACATTTAGGTATATACGTTTAAAATGTAGGGATTTAGTTAATTAAGGGTAGTTTAAAGTTGTGTATGAAATTTAATGACTCGTCTCGTAAAAGCGAAGACTATTTCATTTAGAATTGTGCGCGGGCTCAAATAAACGCCAATCAACGCCAATACTTCTTCATGTACGACTCGTTGCCCTTTTCTAGAAAATTCTTGCGACCTTCTGCGTATACTTGACATAACTAGAGTTATAGTTAATCATATATCACATCATATTAAACAATACATTGAAAACATGGAATTACAGATAATGAAGCGTTCAGTATGTCATTTTAAAGCGAGCAAGCACACCCTAGTGTTTTATTATGCATTTATTGTTTGATGTTGTTTGACGTAGTCGAGTATGTATTATATATTATATTGCGTAATTACTGATGACAGGACCTCTCGTACGTCCACATAGGTAGGTACCACCACCCCGCCTATTTCTGCCCTGAAGCAATACGAGTAATGCGTTTCGATTTGAAGGGTGGGGCAGCCGTTGTAACTATACCGAGACCTTAGAACTTATATCTCAAGGTGGGGTCGCATTTACGTCGTAGATGTCTATGGGCTCGAGTAACCACTTAACACCAGGTAGGATGTGAGCTCGTCCACCCATCTAAGCAATAAAAACAGAAAAAAGAGACAAAATTTAATTAAAAAGTCGACCAATATACTGGTAAAAACTACAATGAATTAACTATTTTTTGTTACACCATCAATTTTATCTACCTATTGTATTTTTAGCATCATATTACGTAATTTCCATATATGATACACAACCTTTGTTCGCCTTTTAATATGACAGTAGCTAGTAACGGAAAATAACCCAAATAAAATTATCACGTACGAATCCTTGGCGTATCTCCAGCAAGCTTCAACCAAAAACTATGGACATAATGATGTCTTTGTGTATAATCTATGAGTGACCGAGAAAATTCCTCGTATAGTATTGCCTTAGATTTTCTCAAGATAATCTAGTGTTAGACAGTATTAAAACTACGTTAACGATTTAAGATAACATCGCATTTTCTTTTTTTCTTTTTATTGCTTAGATTGGCGGACATCGCATTTTCTTTTTTTCTTTTTATTGCTTAGATTGGCGGACGAGCTCACAGCCCACCTGGTGTTAAGTGGTTACTGGAGCCCATAGACATTTTACAACGTAAATGCGCCACCCACTTTGAGATATAAGTTCTAAGGTCTCAGTATAGTTACAACGGCTGCTCCACCTTTCAAGCCGAAACGCAATGTTGTAATATTGTTTACGACTTTTTTTTACCTAACTGGTAGCCTAAGATTCCAGTTACGCCCGGACGGGTAAGTGAGCTCACGGGCTCAACCTGAGAGAATTTTCTAACACTGGCCCTAGTAAGAGCAGTGCTTCGCAGAATCTACCACAAGCACCGGTCATCGTCCTCGTCGAACCCGTCGGCTACGACGAAGGGCTCGACGAGTGAATTCACCGATAGACACAGCCCACTGAGTTTCTCGCCGGAACTTCTCAGTCCTTAGAACTTATATCTCGAGATGGGTGGCGCATTTACGTTGTAGATGTCTATGGGCTCCAGTAACCACTTAACACCAGGTGAGCTGCGAGCTCGTCTACCCATCTAACCAATACAAAAAAACAGGTTCAATTTTATATATTTCAGTCAAATAATGATTAGGTATATTTATTATAAAGGCGATATTCATAAAAATAAACCCGTAAAAGTTGGTTTTATTTATAGTTTCCTCGTGATTATGCGATGATCATATCCTATTACGCACACTGTTCATTCAAATGCACTGCACAGAAATAGATCGGAGAGGAAAATCTTAGTTTTCACTTCCTCACTTTCCACAGCTCATAGAGGGCGAATTTTGAAATACAACAAAAAAAATATATATATATTTTAAAAAAGATTTTTGTCCTTGTAGGCAGACGAGCATACGGCCCATCGGATGGTGAGTGGTTACAGTCGCCCATGGACATCAGCAATGCCAGGGGCAGAGCCAAGCCGCGGCCTATCGAAAGTTAGGTTACGTTAATTTATTCGTAATTGTATTTTGTTCATTGACATTAACAAATGTGGCCATTTAGCTTAGTATGAAATAGATTAAAAACAATTAGGGTGAGTGTTAATAAAACTAATGGTCTGTTATGTATGACAGATAGAAAATGGGGCATGTAGAAAAAAGGTAATTTCAGCCTGCCACACAACTTCAGGTTGGCCCTTTAATGCTTATACGAGTGACCGAGCTCACGGTCTACCTGGTGTTAAGTCGTCACCGCAGCGTATAGACACGAGCAACGCAAATGCCGCCACTTGCTCTGGGACGAGAGTTCTAAATAACAATTTTACAGCACAACGGCTGCCCTACCCTTCAAACCGAAACACAATGCTGCTTCACGTCAAAAACAGGCAGGGTGGTTGGTACCTACCCGTGCGGATTCACAAGACGTCCTATCATCAGTAAAGAATGCGATATTAAACACATAACTTATATATAAAAATGAATTGCTGTTCGTTAGTCTCACTAAAACTCGAGAACGGTTGGACCGATTTGGCTAATTTTGGTCTTGATTTAAATATATAAAAAAAACTTTGTTTTTCCTTTGATGTGGGGACACGTCGGACGGATTCCTTTTGTTTGTTTTAAGTTTATTTTATGAAAACGTTTAGGTCTTTTATTTATCGATTGAGGCACTACGAAGTCTGCCGGGTCAGCTAGTAACTTATAATATTTCAATGTAACAAACGTCCAAGTAAACATCTCATCTGCCAACTTGGATAACATTGGGAGTCTGAAAAGTGTATAGTCAGGATAGCTTAAGAATTAAATGATGGTAGGACATCCCTCCGCGCGGGTGGGTACCACCACCCTGCCTATTTCTGCCGTGAAACAGTAATGCGTTTCGGTTTGAAGGGTGTGGCAGCCGTTGTAACTATACTTGAGACCTTAGAACTTATATCTCAAGGTGGGTGGCGCATTTACGTTGTAGATGTCTATGGGCTTCAGTAACCACTTAGCACCAGGTGGGCTGTGAGCTCGTCCATCCATCTAAGCTATAAAAAATTAAAAAAGAGTTCTGATGTCCGATCCACGATAGAAATAAGTTGATGGTGCCCACCCGTGTTGGCTCACAAGACGTCCTACCACAAATAATAGGTACTTAAGCCAATAATAGTTTACGAAGCATTAGCAAATATGAGCATTTTAATGGTTTTTTTTTGGAAAATCATTTAATTTTATTGACTTTCTTATTTCAATAATTCGTCTTTTTGCATTAAAAGTGAAACAATTTCCTAAAATATTCGAAATTGAGTGAATATGCGGAATCATTTGGTATCATCAGTATTTTTCTCATAAAATCGTTTTTCTTTTAAGTTTACCTCTGTTTTGACTACTACACTATTAACAAAATTAATACATAATTTTATCTTACTTTAAAAGACAGATAATGTAACTAGTAAAAAATAAAAAATAAATGTTGCAAAGATGATTAATATTAAAAACATCACATGCTAAACCTTTAAAACACTCTCCTGTAAAATTAGTAAGTTTTGAGAATATACAGTTTTAATGCGAGAAGACGAATTATGGTCATGCATCGATTAATAAGTATGGTTTTAATAAATAAATAAAAAAATTAGTTTCAATTCACAATCCACACACAAACATTTAACGTTGGCTGGGTTGTCTTACCAAATTCTTTATGTTTATCGCCGATGTGTCCGAATGGGAACCGAAAAATGAACCGTGCTGATTCATTTTTTAAATATCTGTTGAAAAACAACAAATTATTATCATATTTTCAAGGGTCCCGGTCGGTGAGTGGGCGGATGAGAATGTCCATATTTTTTTTCTATATACCCTGCGAGAACTTGCTGAGTCTAGCCCTGGCTAGAGCAGTGATTCTATGAATCTAACACCGAATTGAAATCGCGACCCACTGACAAGACATTTTTCGGGAAAATCGACCTCAAAGAATTTCGCTAGAGCGTGCCGGAAACACAAGCAGACATGCCCAGACCCCGAAGGTCTAATATGTAGAAAATCGACACGGAATCCGCCCGAGAATCGAACCGTAGGAAACATAGCGGTAAAGTACTTGGTCAGCATTAACGAACTTATTCCCATTATCCCATTATATATCCCATGATAAATCTTGGAAATAAATCGTCGAATTCTTTATCAAGTGTTATTATATTCATTGGTAAGGAATTGAGTCAAGTAAGTGTTATAGCGTAAACGGGGTTTTGTTCACGGACCGTTTGGTTTTAATGAGTTACTAGAGTCAAGAGACAGCTAGCCCACTGAATTTCTCGTTGGATCTTCTCAGTGGGTCGCTGTTCAGATTCTGCAAAACACAGCTCTTGGTAGGGCTAGTATTAGCAAATTCTCCGTCCGGCCTTAGCTGGAATAGCCCTTTAGGCTACCAGCCAATAGGTAGGGAAAAATGAATAAAAAATCCCAGACATCCAATAAACGTAAATGCCATCACAATAATTACGCAAATTATAATTTTGACAGCACACAATCGACTGACTTAATCTAAGCTTCAATTCGATTAGACAGGGAAAATTAATAACACGTATGTGGGTTTTCAGTAAACTTAACAACTTTTTTTTCCTAACTAAGCTGATGGTCTAGAGAGACCATATCAGCGTAACCTTAATAGTCTAGTCAACAAGTTCAAAAACGTGTTAAATAGACATAAAGCTCCTAAAAATATGTACGATAGCTCATTGGATGCGGAATGATGTCTACAAAAATGTTTTTTAAGGGCTTATTAGCACATAAAAAATTGCGATTGTTATAAACAAAATAAGGTTTTAAAAAAAAGGAATTTGGTTTTTCCTTAATAATTTCTAAANGGCAGGCGGCGGCGGCGATGCCTGGCGCACTCGCGCCTCGCCCGAACGCACTCCACGCGGAGTTGCGCAATTTCGGGCGACCACCAGTACGCCTGGCGATTAGGAAGTCGAGGGCCGATCCGGGGCATCGACGCATCACAGATGCGACGCATCGTGTCCCGGAACCACCCTGCCTCTCCCTCGACCTCGACCGGGTGTGGACGCATGGGGGCTCACGGCCTACCTGGTGTTAAGCACCGCAGCGTATAGACATGAGCAACGCAAATGCCGCCACATGCCCTGGAACAAGAGTTCTAAATCACATTTTTCCAGCATAACGGCTGCCCTACCCTTCAAACCGAAACGCATTGCTGCTTCACGTCAAAAACAGGCAGGGTGGTGGTACCTACTAGTGCGGACTCATAAGACGTCCTATCATCAGTAAAGAATGCGACATTAAACACATAATAACTTATATATAAAAATGAATTCCTGTTCGCTCGAGAAAGGCTGGACCGACTTGGCTAATTTTGGTCTTGAATTATTTGTGGAAGTCCAGAGAAGGTTTAAAAGGTAGATAAATATGAAAATGCTCGGATTTAAATAAATAAAAAAAATACTTTGTTTTTCCTTTGATGTGTCCCCCGTCGGACGGATTCCTTTTGTTTGTTTTAAGTTTATTTTATACAAAAGTTTAGTTCTTTCATTTATCGATTGAGGCACTACGATGTCTGCCGGGTCAGCTAGTAATTTATAATGTTTCAATGTAATAAACGTCCAAGTAAACATCTCATCTGCCAACTTGGATAACATTGGAGTCTGAAAAGTGTCTAGTCAGGATAGCTGAAGAGTTCTGATGTCCGATCCTCATCATGAGTCCTGTAACTGGATTACTGCTTCACGATAGAAATAAGTTGATGGTGCCTACCCGTGTTGGCTCACAAGACGTCCTACAACAAATAATACTTAAACCAATAATAGTTCTCGAAGCATTAGCATAGCAAATACGAGCATTTTAATATTTTTTTTGGAAAACCTTTTATTGACTTTCTTATTTCGATAATTCGTCTTTTCGCATTAAAAGGGCACAATTTCCTAAAATATTCGAAATTGAGTTAATATGCGGAATCATTTGGTATCATCAGTATTTTCCTCATAAATACTGTCAAAGAACGTAGCTTACTTTTATTTTTTTATTTTTTAAGTTTACCTCTGTTTTGACTACTATTAACAAAATTAATACATAATTTTATCTTACTTTAAAAGACAGATAATGTAACTAGTAAAAAATAAAAAATAAATTTTGCAAAGATGATTAATCTATATATTAATACGTGAAGCAAAAATTTTGTATCCCTTTTTACGAAAATTGCGCGGACGGAGGAGTATGAAATTTTCCACACTTAAAGAGAATATAGAGAAGAAGTGCACAATGCTAATATTTTTTTAAAATAATGCATAAAAGATACATTAAATCAATAAAGAAAACATTACACACACTACATACCATGTATTTGACGCACACACGCATGCATACTATTAATTGTCAAACTTTTGTTCTTGACGTCTGTGGTCAAATTGAAAATAGATTAAATATTGTTTGTCTTTATTAATATTTTTTTATAGTGTAGCCTTCGCGAAATTTGTGACTATAGAAGTATAAAATACAATCATAATAGTGTACAAACTTATTATACAATTCCAATTAATTATAGTCGAATTTCGACTTTTTTTTTTTTTTTTTTTTTTTTTNTTGTCGGCAGATGTACCACGAACACAGAAATAACAAAAGGAAACCAAACAAATAAAAACTTCCAGGAAAAACACTTGGTCGGCAGATGTACCACGAACACAGGCCGCGCGAACAATGGCCGGGCTAACAAAAGCCGGGCGAACAAAGGCCGGGCGATCGAGTGGTCGATGAGCACGTCCGCGCGTGACGGGTGCCTCTATCGGAATGCGAATTTCGACTACTGCGGGACCTCTAGTATTCAAAATATCACATGTTAAACCTTTAAAACACTCTCCTGTAAAATTAGTAAGTTTTGAGAATATACAGTTTTAATGCGAGAAGACGAATTATGGTCATGCATCGATTAATAAGTATGATTTTAATAAATAAATTAAAAAATTAGTTTCAGTTCACAATCCACACACAAACATTTAACGTTGGCTGGGTTGTCTTACCAAATTCTTTATGTTTATCGCCGATGTGTCCGAATGGGAACCGAAAAATGAACCGTGCTGATTCATTTTTTAAATATCTGTTGAAACACAACAATAAATTATTATCATATTTTCAAGAGTCCCGGTCGGTGAGTGGGTGGATGAGAAAGTCCTTTTTTTTTTCTATATACCCTGCGAGAACTTGCTGAGTCTAGCCCTGGCTAGAGCAGTGATTCTATGAATCTAACACCGAATTGAAATCGCGACCCACTGACAAGACATTTTTCGGGAAAATCGACCTCAAACAATTTCGCTAGAGCGTGCCGGAAACACAAGCAGACATGCCCAGACCCCGAAGGTCTAATATGTAGAAAATCGACACGGAATCCGCCCGAGAATCGAAACGTAGGAAACATAGCGGTAAAGTACTTGGTCAGCATTAACGAGCTTATTCCCATTATCCCATTATATATCCCATCATAAATCTTGGAAATAAATCGTTGAATTCTTTATCAAGTATTATTATATTCATTGGCAAGGAATTGAGTCAAGTAAGTGTTATAGCGTAAACAGGGTTTTGTTCACGGACCGTTTGGCTTTAATGAGTTACTAGAGTCAATAGACAGATAGCCCACTGAATTTCTCGTCGGATCTTCTCAGTGGGTCGATGTTCAGATTCTGCAAAGCACAGCTCTTGGTAGGGCTAGTATTAGCAAATTCTCCGTCCGGCCTTAGCTGAAATAGCCCTTTAGGCTACCAGCCAATAGGTAGGGAAAAATGAATAAAAAATCCCAGACATCCAACGTAAATGCCATCACAATAATTATGCAAATTATAATTTTGACAGCACACAATCGACTGACTTAATCTAAGCTTCAATTCGATCAGACAGGGAAAATTAATGACACGTACCACACACGTGTACTCCACGCGTATGTGGGTTGTCAGTAAACTTAACAACTTTTTTCCTATCTAAGCTGGTGGTCTAGAGAGACCATATCAGCGTAACCTCATCTAGTAGGTGAGCTCACAGGGCTCTAACCTGACGACGTTACTAACACGAACCCTAGCAAGAGCCGTGCTTTGCAGAATCTACCACCGGATCGGAAACGCGACCCACTGAGAAGATCCGGCGAGAAACTCAGTGGACTGTGTCTGTGGATTAAAAACATGATATCCGAATCAATGAATAGCTTTAACAAATATAAATATTCATAAGACCTCGTGTCGTGTTCTATTATGCTCGCTCATTCAACTCACCCGATCGAAATCAGCGCTGTACCTATCAGAAATAACAGAGGGTATTTATTTTTTTCTCCTACCTACGCCGAAAGTTCCGTTTCCCTCCCGCTGTACAGGGTAGAAAGTGTAACTTTTACTCCCTGGATACTCTGCCCCCCCCCCACTCCCTACCAGGGCTTTGCCCCTGGAAATGTCCTACTTTTCTCCCTTGGTGCACAATTTACTATTATATGCCATTTCCGACTTTTCACCTGTGTACCTAGTGCGAGTGTTTTAACGTTCTCGATAGCGTAAAAGTTAGCTCATATTTGTATGGAACGGGAACGTTTGCCGTTAGGGGCGCTGTTCCAACTGCATACAAAATTGGGTTAACTTTTACGCTATCGAGAATGTTAAAAAACTCGCACTAACACACTGGCCAGTGTAAAGTAAATATTGAGTTCGGTTTCGGGACATCAATAATACTATTTTTACGATTTAATCTCATATTTATTATTTATGTGTGAAAAGAAAGGAAA